GGGAGCAGTTCAGGGCAGCCAGCTCAGAACCTGTGTCCAATAAGTTGATGTGTAAAGTTGAGAAGTATGTAGGGGGGAGACATATTCATTCACAGGAATGACACCCAGGTCTCACCACCAGTTGTTTCATCAGGTGATTGGCCTGATGGACAGGGAGGTGTAGAAGGGAAGAAGAGTAAGGAATGCCTCTCCTACTAGTTGATGAGACACACTGGCATCAGTGTTGCCGAGATATCTTTAAAGGGTTGTAGACCTTTAAACTGGACTGCATTGCTTGTTGATGTGCATGGTGAAGAGTGATGTTTTGCATATTTGTGTTGCAATTTAGAAATACAACTGGTAAGTGAGAGAATGTGTTGTTGCCTTGCATCAGTAAGTTGTGGAAAGTGAGTATGTTGTTTGCCCATGTGAGTTGTGGAATGTGGTGCAATGGGAATGTTTATGAGTATGTAGGTATTTGTGAATTATATTTTCTTAATTTTTTTTTCTTTTCTTTTTTAAATTCTTGAATTTTTTTTCCGGAGAGGGATTGTCAATTTGCAGTAAAGTCATAGAGATATTGGAAGATGGATTGGCAGTTATGCAATCATCTGATGGGTATCTTTTACTTGTTTGAGTAAAGATAGCAGTTGTGAGTTCTCAAGTTTTGTGTGTTAAGTCCTAGCTAGGCTTGTTGTTGTGTATAGTAGTGTTCATGACTTTTAAGTGGGATCGGGCATGAAATCATGGCACCAATACCGCTACATGGCTAATGCTATAAGTACAGAGAGTTCTTGGTTTGGTTGTGTTCCCATAAGGACCGTTTCATTTTGCATTGGATTCTTGGGAATATCTCCGCTTGTTCAGGATCCCTCGAATTAATTGCTGCCTCTCGCGAGTAGGACATGACTTTTTGGAATAAAGTCAAACAAATCATTCCTTCGGCTCGATGGGGTCCTTTTATCTATGTCCTAGCTTGAGAAGTCTAAGTTAAATCTCAGTGGTGTCCAGTAAGCATTTGATCAATCTCCTCAATGAAAACTTTCTTGATATGAGAAGCTGTTTCTCTAGACTAGAGTGTGTATTGTGTAACAATTTTTTTATGTTATGTATGTAACCCCACTTTTATGCTTTTTCTGTATCAGTACATTATTCTCCTATGTATATGTATTTGCCTGTATTTTGTTTCCCTATTCAATGTTGTCAGTGATGATAGATTGTTTTTTTTAAACTACCGTTTATCCCATATATGTACCATTGTGTTCTTGTTTTGCATGCCTTTTTGTGCCAGACGCCTGTAATAGTCCTGATGTGTTGTTATGAGTGTATGTAGTGTGAAACCATGACAAAAGGTAACAGTTATTTAAAGAATCTGTGTAACTACTGTACATGTTTAGCGAACGTTACCGCATAATAAGAATCTTGGGGAAGGGGGAGCTGTGTCATGGTCACAATGACTGCTGGTCTGTTTGAAATCTGATGATTCATATTATACTCCACGCCCACAAAACATGTGGATAACTGGTGAGATATCCCTAGGAAGAAACGCGTTTTCCCTCTCCGTAAGTCCCGCCCATTTGGGGTTTCAGTTGTCAACGTATGTATTCCACTTTTTCCTGGCAAGCTCAATCTCTAATTAGTTTATGTAAATCAACTTAAGAAATTAGCCAGACCTGTGTCAACTGAGGGTCATCTTTGAATGTGCAGCAGTTGATTTGAATGTAATTTCTGTCATTGAGTGAGTAGCCACCTCTGGCAGCTCACGGCATATATAAACCTGCGCATGAAGGAGAAACAGCCTTCCTTTGATGACTTCTAAATTATCTCAGATCCAGTGTATGCCCTTAAAAACGGATGTAGTACCAGAATCCTGGAGGATAGCGAATGTAATACCGATTTTCAAGAAGGGAGAGAGATCACTACTGTATCCTCTAACTACTGTCCAATCAGTTTAACATCAATTGTAGGCAAATTGCTTGAAGCAATAATTTCAAACCCTATTCGAAATCACCTGGAGAAGCACAAGTTACGAATGTGAATTATGGTTCATTGACCAAGTTCTTCTCACATAAACTCATAAAATTCGTCCTTCATACCGATTAAACCCTTGGTATTCACTCATTCACCCTCTTCGTATTTCAGTGAACCAAAAAAGACATGAAACATATCTTAAACTCATTCCTGACCCTCTAGTCAGCTACTTGTTTGAAGTGTGCAAGGCGGGCCGAGTTAGTAATGTGTGGGCTGAGTTGTTTATTTAAGATAGGCCAAGTTGGAGGTACACCACCTGGGACGCACCAAGGGTAAGGAGGCGTATCACATGCCCCAACGGGACGAAGATATGCGTAGGGGCTTCTTGAACGGCTGAAATCAACAACAAATGAAAACCGCTTTCAAACCTAAGATCAACCAATCAGATACAAGGAAACGAATTACTCATGTACTTTAAAAACAATCAGTGAATTACCTAATCATATGTGTTCACTGTAAGAGTTAATATAGATGGTGGAAATATTCCTTTAAGTATGGTAATTATATCTAAATGGGCATTTAAGTACAGGCATCCCTTGGGTCATGGAAGGGTTCCGTTCCTGAACATTTTTCTGTATCGCGAATCCGTTTTTCCCGTACACTTCAATTATAAAAGTTGAGGCCCAAAAATGTGACACAAGCACATACTGTATATGTATGAAATCATTTGGTTTTAACCATATACAATGAGCGAGTCATTCATGATGTAACATGATAATAAAGTAACAAAACACTCAAATTTTACTTACCAGAAACAATGTTGAGTGCTGCAGAAGGTGGCGAGGTGAGATTGTGAGATCAAAGTTACTTCCTTAAAACATCAAGTTCAATGCAATTCCTTTATGGAGTCTTTTATCACCATTACTTTCACTTGAACTTGATGGTCTTTATCCACTCATCTTGAATAAGGGTACACAGTAACACAAGACACATACCTGAACACAAACTGGGGAAAGAATTTGAACTGAGCAGCGCCATTGTTGTTGTAACTACTTTCAGCTGATGAGGTGAGCCTCCAGGCAGCCATCTTGCAGCTACCACTAGAATCCACAAGAAATAAATTGAATAATTTCAGTGAATTTTTTTTTATATATATTGCAATTTTTTCCTTTGAAAATCTTAATAAATTAACCAAAATTCCACAAGGGCAAATACGGTCCTGAACACAAGTCGGGGAAAGAATTCTAAATTAGCAGCACCAGTTTTGTGGTGATTGCTGGCCACCACAGAGAATCCACATGAAATATTTTTTATAATTTTGATAAAAATTTTGGATAAAATTGCATTTTTTGATAAATTTACCAAAATTACGTAGGGCAAGTTTTTTCTGTAACTTGAAATTCTGATAATTTAAAAATTCCGTAAAGGCAAAATTCCATAACGCAGGGAGGCCTGTACAGTACAATGGTCCTTCGGTTAATGAACACAATTCGTTCCAGAAGGTCGTTCGTTAACCGAAAATTTCGCTAACCGAATCCATTGCTTCAATGAGGAGATATTGGGTAATTGGTTCCAGCTCACCGAAAAGTACATAAAAAGTAAAAAAAAAAAAAAATGCAGTAAAGTACACTTACTTTGAGGTGTGTATGTAGAAGGTTCCTGGTTGATGATGATGATGGGAATTAGAAGTGGGGGTGGAGGAAAAAGGAGAAGAGAAGGAAGTGGGGATGGAGGAGAATCAAGGGACCCATGCTTGATGCTGTCATTTTGCCAATAAAATTTTAAATTCACTTGGTGTAATTCAAGATTATTTTATTTAAATCAACACTACATTGCACTATATATTATCAATATGTTAACTAAATTTCAGAATGACCAATAATTTCAATGAATAATGCAAAAATATTCAAGACACCAACAAAATAGATGTTCACTCCACTGTTTTCAAAGCCCAACTGACGCCTTGTGGCTGAGTCAAGCAGCTGATGGGCACATAAAAAACTAGTTCCCCGTATTGCATATATTTTCAATATGTTATATAAATGTTAAAATGACTAATAATTTTAATGTAAAAAATGCAAAAATATTCAAGAGCACAACTTTCTTGATATTTACTCCACTGGAAATGAATGTAAACATAGAACAGATTACTGAATTAGCAGACTAGCCCATCAGCTGATGCTCACAACAAAACGTGATGTTCGTAAGGATTTTGTTAATCAAATTTTTGTTCGTTAACTGAATTGAAGATTCTTATGGAAGGTAATTCGTTAACCGAGGGACCACTGTATATGTATATCATTAAAAAGGGAATTTAGGTACTGTATTTAACTCGAAAATAATTATTATGTTGTGTATTAAATTATATCCATGTACAGCCACCCCCCCCCCCCCGAAAATAAATGTATTGTAAGCCATGGGGGTCAATTTGATTTGGAGGGGGAAGGGGGGGTATACAATCCTCAGATGTTAACTAGCCTGTATCATCATTGGGTATGACTTTGCTTGGGAGATTGGTATCCCCGCATCCCCTGAGCAACGCTCTTGTGCATTATGCAGAAGACCCGACAGCAGCACCCTTATCCACTACCTCCTAAGATGTCCCCACATACAACGCTTCCGTGACGCCTGCTGGACCACCACTCCATGACCCCCTGACGGAGACACGATGATCCTCCCGATACTGGCCAGATATTTTGTAAATAACATTGATTATGTGTTAAAGGAGTGTCCTTCCTTCCTTAGGCTTTAGTAAGCCCCTTTATAATATTTATACTGCATATACTTGTCACACTTGCCAGATGCTTCTGGTGTCATTGTACAGGGGTACCTAGTGACAGCACTAGGATCCCGCTTCCTCTATCAAGGAATAAACAATTGAAATTGAATTGATGTTAACTCCAGTGGCGTTTGGAGCAATTTTTAAATCCAGCTGGCCCACACCTGTGGCATTTGAAGTGGTTTCTGAACCACACACATTATACAACAAAATGGCATGTGCATACAGTATTATGGGAAATTATCAAAAGGTACAAAAATAAATATCCACCTTCCTTTTACATTTGAATACCTTTTATTTGTCCCATTACAAGAGCAAAGATTCCACTACACAGTATCACCCTGATAAGTACATCAGTGAAGCAAGAAATATATTAATGTTATTTACAGTTTGGTTCTCTACCTTTTCAGATCCAGATAATGCAAGAATCAGTAAGTGTTTTTATGTGATAAGCGTTATCAAAATTTATTTTGACAATAGTAAGCTCTGGCTTTATTTTCACTTACAATTTCAGAGTAAAACCTACAGTAAAGCTAATAAAAAGTTTGGAAAACAATCCTAAATTTACTTTTAAATTCCAAGAATAAACTCAGACATTAACATATTAATGTAATTAATGAAATTGTTCTCATATTTGGTGCCTGTTTGCAACTTCCCTCTTACCAGAAGGTGAGGATGCTACCTCTCTATTGCTAATATTATGGTTATTAATCATATAATTATTGTCATCATTAGTACAGTATAAAGATTATTATTTTTCTGCTAAATTAGTTCTGAGCAAACAGCTTATTTGATGCGGTTTAATCAACTCTAGAAGAAACTTTGAAGGATCTGAAGCTGTGTATACAATCAGAGGGTCATTGCTAAATTATAGCAATTTTTGTATTCTTTTGATGCTTTACTCAGGTGGAACACACTGGTGCATGGAGCTGTGCAGGAAATCTCTCTGTCTCCTTGGAAAAATATCATCTTGAGAGGAGGCTAATTCAAATTCACTCTATAATTTTAAATACTTACAGACCCAAGGAAAAAAAAACTGACTTGGCAACAACAACTGTTTTACAGGAGTGCAATAAATGGAAAAATTAATACAATACTGTACCTACAATATGCTGCACCATTAAAGAATTTATTAGTCATTCAAATTATTCATTGGTTTATTTAAATCAGGAATTATCTGGATTATATTCACTGTAATCAAATAGATAACAAAATATTTAATACAGTACAGTACATGACATTTATTTTATGCTTTGCACATTTTTAGCCTTAAAATTCATCTACAATATATTTAAGTAATGTTTTTTATTGCTCATTAACAGTTTACAATTACAATAAAAGGCAAAAAGTCATCAGTCTCTCAATTTTCTAGACATTAATTATGCAAGACACTACGAGCAGTCATTGTGATATGTTACATAAGAAAAGCGATTTTCTTCATCTCAGAGAAAAACATTAGAGCAACTGATCTTGCTTCTTACCGTCGTACACACCAGACTAGATAGCACAGGTATTAGCGTAATGCCATCAGTGAAAGTATAACTTCGCTGAAAGGAAATTTTAAAAAACAATCAGAGGAAAGATGTAAATGAAAACTCTTTTCATCTCTTTGTTTGATTCCTTGTGTTTGTTTTTTTAATCATGCAAAGCAAGGGTCAAAGACTACTTTAAGGTGATTTTTCATTACCAATTTTTCATTACAGTAGGTTTATTTTAGAGCCTTCCCAGTGCTTGTCCGGTCTCTGGCCCTACCCAAGCAAGGTGTAGAATGTCCGTTCTTATTTATCAAATACTGAACACAGATAAGAGATTCACACAGTTGTCAAAACAAAAATTTAATACCATAAAATAATGTTAAATTTCACTTAAGATGGCGGATAAAAAAAATATTATCGACCATAATTGCACCGATCTCCTTAGTCCTGGTGCAATATTCCTGTTTAAAATGAGACAGATGCATTCCATCTGTTCTTTGACATGACTAAAACATATGTACACATTATATACACAATATGCATACACAAATCAACAAGACAGCAAATTATGGTTGCAACCATCACTTAAGGCCAAATGCTTTTGTTCATGCTAATCAGTCCTGAGGACCCAAGAAAGGAGTTCCCAGTTGTAAATTCAAGTGACTGGGGCAAGTGTTTGCATAGAAAATGGTAATTTTATCAATGAACAAACAAATGGAAGGTTATTACTATAACATTTCTACCCATGAAACAGGTTGGACTCTAATACCGGGGTAATCAAATGTAACTTTAGAGTTTACACAAAATATCCTAGAATCTGCCACACACTAAAAAGATATTAAAGTGGAAACAAAGGAGTCATTTACATTATAGACTGGCAAACTAAAACTGACCAATAAATTAAAAAAAAAAAATCATGGGTGAAAGAACCATAAGGTTTTTGGAAGAGACTGGAGGTTATAGCGGATACTGATCTGTAACATTTATTTTCCCAGTAACCATAAATGTCTTGGCTCATATTGGGATGGTAGACTTTGTGGCATGATCACAGCATCCATGAGTAAAGCAATAAGAACAATTCAAGTTGTCCACACAAACAAAACTTTTACAGTGAGAAAGTTTAGGATGCCATGATCATGATACTTAATGAACCAGGTGCAACATTCAAAACAAATGATGAGTTAAAAGAATCTTAATTTTTTGTTTATGTTGAAGTAATAAAGCTCTATAGAAGCCTGATATACTACCATTTAATAAGGAATGAATGTGTCTTTGGGTGCTCAATTCAAAGACGAGTCTTTGTATGTGTAAAAATGAATGCCCGTTTATAATAAAATTATGCAGATTCCATTTTGATTGTTATACTGTACAGTGTATTGAGAGGCAGTACTCTGTCTGAATGTTATTAAGAATGCCCCAGTTCACGATAAAATAATTAATAAAATTAAACAAATATTGAAGAGATTTATCACCGAGAAGTAGTTTAAAAATCAAATTAATTAAACACCCATTTTCGATTACTATATCATACAAATAGGTTACACGTTATACATGATACATTACCTACGTAAGTAATGTCCACAATATACACATCTGATAACATTTCTATAAATTATAGATAGACTAGACTGAATGTTACTCTACCATTAGACAATAGCTAGACATCTAGATATAACATGTTTTCTTGAACTCGACAAAATATTGTCCAGTTTTACAGACACACCCAAACCATCACAGCAGGAACATTATCAGTTTGAAAAATTATAGCACATGTATGTTCAGGACAGAAACTCTGCATGACACAAATGGATGCTAGCTCTAAGGTGCTGCCAGCAAGTTAACGTGCATAGACACTTGTACAATTCATACACTCTAGAATGTTTCACTGGGAAATCATTACACTACAAAATGGACTTCAGTGCTCTGCACTGACTTTCAACAATGTACAGCTGTACACAGATGCATTCAGACAAGTGGGTATGTTAAATATCTGCACATAGAGGAAGAAAAATACTCCCATCTATGTGATGCCCTATACTATACTATGACCAACAATATGTTTCAAAATATATGTGTTTTCTTTGATATAGCATTACATAACATTAATTACCTGTATACATTAGTTGTGTGAGGAATAGCTCTGTAGGTGCCACGAGTCACGTAATCTGTATGGAAGACGTGCAGAGGCTCCTCCTCCAAAAACCTCAACTGAGTAAACAATTTCCATGACTCACCAGCAGATATTTATATAATTCTCGAGCATCACACCAAAACAGATTCATAATTGACAACTTTGAACACTTGAATACAGTATATATTTTACAAGTTGTCCAATTAAGCCTTAGGCACATATTCAAGTACAGTATTTGATTTGGTCAACTCAATAGGAATTCCCCTCTATTGGCATAATTAATCTTTTAGTATATTTTAAAAAAATTTTGTAAAGTGACAAATGCAAAGTGAGGGTAGAAATTTTAAAATCTTATAAATTTGAGGAACATGATTTTACTGTCCTCCTCCTTCTTCAAGATGAGATAGCTGATTCTCCAATATTACTTGCACAAGCAATTCCAACTCTCTTACATCTATGATAAATTTGTAAGAATTTTATTGTACCATAAAATTGAGCAAATATCATTAGTGAGAAGTTTTAAATCTGATTATATGAACCAAACGTCTTTACTGAAAAGCTAACTTAGATCAATCCTCACACTTTCCCTTTAACTATACATGAAAAATTATGCTTGTACATTTACGTGTACATAAAAGCTCATTACCGAGGTATATGCTGAGAGGTATTCCGGAGGGATTCTTCCTTCATATCTTAAAAATAGTAATTTTTCATATATGATTATGAAATTAATAAAATACATTAGTACTGTATATATAATAACTTCAGAAACTTGATAACATAATGCAAGTTTCATGACCACTGAAAATATGGAAAACACTGCACAAAAGATATGTGTACAATAATAAAACAACAGTTATACAAAGACCACTCCTAGAACAGGAGCTGACAGTTTGTACCATGCCCACAAACCAATAGAATAGGAGCCCCTGGGCATCATGGAGATTGAGTTGATGTGAAGCATTAAGTTCATATCATATGGAAAGGGCCAGTGATGCCCATTGACCAATTAATTTAAATTAGGTATTAAAAGCATCATTGAGATGACTGCTGCCTGTTTGATCATTACTACCTTTACCTTTCCAATAAAGGATTTTGATATCTTTATATTCAACCATTATTATACAATGTGAACATCATGAACATGTTTCCCTAACATTAATTTCAAATCATACAGGACTGAATTTAAGACACTACAATGCCTTTCCAATACTGAAAGAACCTTGTTTGTATAATTCCTTAAATAAAAAGATAAACCCCAGATATGTACCTTGAAGATAATATTTTCATTGGGATCCCCGTCTAAAGTAAATAACTGAAAAATAGCTGCTGCTCTTTCCTGTCAAAAAAAAGTACACATAATAATATTGTGGTTTTTTGTACAGATTCTCATTCTGAAAACTCAACCTTTACATTCTGAAAACATTGATTCAGTTTACTTAGTTATGCTTTAAAAATAATCGTAATACTGACTGCTCTGCAATTCTACACAAGAAAATTCTTAGCTGATGTTTATATTTATTATGCTGTGTCCTATACTGAAAAGGCAGCGTCCTAAGTAAGGTGTCTGCTAACCTAAAACTTCTTATAACAAAGTGAGCATTCCATAACAAACCACATCCTAACAACTTCACCCAATTGCAGGAACAAATTCACTTGTCAAAAAATGAAGCTGTTTTTCTGTATCATGAAGAAATCTAAAATTTCCCACGTCCAATAAAAGAATGTCTGGAGCAAAGCAGATATTACAGAGTTAACAGGGATCCTGGCAAAGATTAAAGTGATAAATCTTAACAAGTGGTAATTCAGGGTCAGCGGGATGGACACGAAGAAGTTGCAGACTTGTTGGTATTGGAGGAGAGGGATGAAAAGCCACTCTGGCATGACTGCAGGCTGGTCATGGAGCCCCTAAAACATAAACAAATTACAAATTAAAAGGGGTGCACAATTTAAAAATTAAGTACATGTATTATTGTAATAACTAATTTTAAAGATGACTACACCTCTGCTTGCTCACTGAAATTGCACTATGTACAAGTACTAGTTTCTTGAATCGTTACGTAGTGTATATTAAGTGTTTTATTGTAATCCGTACATCATTTTTTCCATTAATATTTAGTTATAATCTTCACGTGAAATGTACAGTCACATTTTTGTTCAGTTTGTGGAAAATAGGTAAGAAATGAAAATAAAAACCGTTGAACTGTTTCTGTTTTTGTTTTTTTGACAGACGTCCTTAATAAATGATCTTTCTCCAAACAGGGAGGTATTACTGCCTAGGAAGATATTGTAAGCATAATGTGTTGTCTAATGGTAGACCCTGCTGCCATATGGCATCATGAAAATTTTGACCAAGTTCCAGGTTGCTGATCTGACTTTCTGCCTCATTTACACACAATTGCAGGGTCTCAATTGTTTCTCTTACTTTTGACAACACAACATACATATATTGTTTCTCACTTTTGATCTTTTTTTAATTTTTGTATTTCTTTATGGTTCTTCATTATCATTATTATTATTTTATTTTCAGTTTTGTATTTTTTATTATAAATTTTATTTACTATGAATTATTATTATTATTACCCTGGCAGTGTTTTGTTGTCTAATTTTCCAAAGAAAATATCCATTCACTTTTTCACCTTTTCCATCATACCTAAAACCTCTTCAACTGAAAAATTAAGGTGTCTTTTGAGAGCTGGGCCTGCCATATACATCTTCTTAAACTTCCTTTGTTTTTAAATCTCATGCCCTCAAGCCAACTCATATCCTTAATTTGTGATGGGTTGGTACATTTTGAAAGCATAACTGTGATTGACCGACTGGACGTTAGCAGTTTGTAAGTTTAAATACCGTAAGTGTAACTTACCAGATGTTTTGAGTATCTCCCACCAGTCTAGGTGCACTGTTTTGATGTTGGTGGGCATTCGGTGGACATTGAAGTTATCACTCCCACCAATGTGAGAGCCACTCATAGTAAGGCTGATGTACCCTCTTCAATATTCTGACTCCACCACATACAGTACACTCCCCACACTCCTTACTTCACAATCATCATTTGTAAGTATCAAATTGTTTGTTTAGACTATCTTCTGTTGAAACACTGACATGTATGGAATGACTTTTCCCTTGAGCCTTAACCCTTTATTACTATAATTCTTATGGAGATAACTGATCCGTTTATCATCGTTTTACCTGTCCCATTTTAAAGGAACACAACTCTAATGTTAACTGAGAACACCCTTTACTATCCAGTGCCTATATTATTATAGTGTAATCATATACAAACAAATTCATCCAAAATATATTTCCTGTATATCCAACACCAGTGTCAGAGATTATAGACAAATACGTACTCACAGCTGTCATATGGCAGTGATAAACTTGCTATGTAATGGTGATGTTACCATTAGTTATTTTCTATTTGGGGTTTATAACATTATATAGGTTTCATGTACAAACAAAAAATTATCTATGTCCAAAAAATACTGTATTTATATAGCATTTATGTATGGATGACTGCCAGTTGACTATGCCTTGTTAACCTGGGGTGGGGTGGGAATGGCCTCCCCCAGGTGTCTGAGTGTTAATAAATTGCATTAACTACTTCATTAATTGTTCAAGACATAAGTTTTGCACAAATAGACCTCTAGCAATTACTTGAATTGTCTCTGGTGTGGAAAGCTGATACTTAGCTGATATAGAAGGGTCCTGTTTGAGGTTAATTTTGCTTTTTTTCCTTAGCTTATACAAACAGCAATTGAAATATACTGTTTTAATTCTAATATACTGTACTGTATAAAATATTCATTTACAGTGACCCTCGTTTACTTGACGCCTCTCGTTATGAAATTTGGTTAAGAACTTCCTGAGATCTTCAATTAGGTTAACGAACAATTGGGTTAACAAATTTCTTCACAAACGACCTCAACATGTTTTCGCTTGCACTGACGAACCAGCTTTTAATGTGAGATAGCCAATACATTATTCGGTTCTAGGGCTTAAATTACTATTTTTAGTAAATATCAAGAAGTTTATACTATTCAATTCAATAATTTTAAAATTTTAATATTAACTTTTAGTAATTTAACAATTATTGCATACAAATGAAGGTAAAAGAAACTAGTTTCTGGCGTGCCATCCAGCCTGTTAACACACCAGACAGGCTTTAGTCTCTCTCTGTTTTCAGTGGGTAACATCTTGCTTGAGACTCTCTTCAACTAGCAGCTTTTTCTGTGTTTCCAAGCAAATTATTGGTCATTTTGAAATATATTTTACATATTGACAATATATAATGCAGTGCAGTGTTGATTTAAAAGAAAATAATCTTGAATACACCAAGAGAACTAAAATTTTATGGGTGAAATGGTGCCATGGGGTGACTACTCTTCCCACCCCAATGCCTTCTCTTCTTCCTTCTCCTCCACCCCACATTCTAATTCCCATCATCATCATCATCATCCAGGAGCCTTCTACATACCTCAAAGTAAGTGAAATTTCTACCATTTTTGTTGAATTTAGGAAATTTTGGTGAGCTGGAACCAATTACCCAAAAACCCATTGAAACAATGGTTTTAGGTTAACGAACGACCTTCTGGAACGGATTGAGTTAAGGTTAAGGTCACTGTATAAAATGTTGAAAAAATTTTTTATCCAATACTAGTCACTGATCACTGTGGACCTGAGGCTTTGAGTTTGTATATTTTCTCAATTTTTTTAAAAGGGATTTGATACTTAAATTTTGCCTTAGAAAGTCTGGAATTTACCTATTAAGTACAGTATTACCCGCTAATCGGTTTCCCATAACGTTTTATCATATATCTGTGATGCCCTAGAAATGAACTTTCATAACTGCGGATTTTTTCCACATACAGTATACGCGGTGAGTGTCCGGCTCCAGGACGCTATTTTTAGATTTGCCCCTGCCTGACTGCCTGTTTTGCTCTAAAATTCATACAAATTACCCGACAGAATATAATTTACATTGCTGGAATTCTTATAATTTGGTGATCATTTTGAATATAAACATCATATTTTTGCATTAGACATAAATTTTAGATAAAATTTTTTCTCAAATTAACTATGTTATCTTTTGTGCAAAATATAACATTTATATTCAAAATATTCCTGATCTTACAAGGAATCCAGCAATGTCAATTATATTATCCTAACTTTAGTTTGAGGTATTATTTATTAAAATTTAGTGGTTATCCCACACATCTCCTTGGGACGGTTGGTGGGGGGTGGGGGAGGGAGGACCAACCGACCATCTGTTACCAGTGAAGAATTATTTTTTTTTATTAACTGAAGATATTTGTTTTAGCTCATAAAATTCATACAAATTATCCGGTCTGATATAATTTACATTGCTGAATTCTTATAATTTGATGATCATTTGAATATACATATCATATTTTTGCATTAGACATACAAATTTTAGATAAATTTTTCTCAAATTAACTATGTTTATCTTTTGTGCAAAATATATGACATTTATATTCAAAATATTCCCAGTCTTACAAGGAATCAACATCAATTATATTATCTAACTTTAATCAGGTATTATTTAATACTAAATGTTAAAAACCTGGAAGGGATTGGTGGTGGGGGTGGGGAGGTTGGGACTGACCGCTGCGGTTGGAAGATGGGGGGGAGCAAGGTGGGGTACTTTGATTGACAGATAGTGTTGTGAAGATTATTTTTTTTTATTAACTGAAGATATTTGTTTTAGCTCATAAAATTCATACAAATTACCGGTCAGAATAATTACATTGCTGGAATTCTTATAATTTGGTGATCATTTTGAATATAAACATCATATATTTTCATTAAACATACAAATTTTAGATAAAAATTTTCTCTAGGTAACTATGTTATCTTTGTGCAAAATATATGACATTTATATTCAAATATTCCTGGTCTTACAGGAATCAGCAATGTCAATTGTATTACCTAACTTTAGTTTGAGGTTATTATTTATTAAAATTTAGTGGTTTCCCCAAAATTTCTCTGAGAGGAAGAGAGCCAGCGAGTGTGAGTGTGAGAGGGAGGAGTTGAGTCCATTATTTGAATGGACATTAGCGACTGTATTTCTCTTAGTATTAATTGTGTGCATGTACCATCATAAAATTAAGATGTTTATTTTACTACAACATAGGTATGTGCCTTCAAAAGTGGAGTTTGAGGGTCGGGCGGTTTCTATTGGAATTAATCCCATATGTTCTGTTGTTCATAGCAGATTTCACTTAACGCGGGACCCTCTGGGTTCAATTGACAGCGTTAAGTGGGGTACAACTGTATTGTTTTTGTCCATGAAGCAAACAAAATAATTTGATGTAAGTGTTGTTTGCAGACAATATTCCAAACATACATTTAAAAGATATAGGCTAAGAGTTAATGAAATAAAATTGAATAAAACTTTAAATATAAATGATAAACTACAATTACAGAAAAGGTATTGCCAATGACAAAATCTAAGCAAGCACAGGAGATGAAATAGGATTTTTCCATGGGCTCTAAAGTGTTGGCCATATGAAGAACACAGTAAAACTGATAACATAAAAAAAAGGGGGGTATTATTATCCTTGTTTAAGAGACTTACCTGTAGTCAGCAGATTTGAGAGTCTCATAGTAATACATAATTTTAGACTTTGGTGCTGTTATGGAATCAATTATATCAAGTGGAGATGAGTGTTGGGTTGACTCATAGTAACGCCACTGCAATACATATGTGCCCATGTGGGATGTAACATGGGAACCCTGAAATTTAGAAATTCAGGTAAGGATAATTTTCATCAGTCTAATCTCCATTCTACTTATAATTCAACATATTTTGATGTGATTTAAATATTTTTTTTTGTAAGTCTCTTCTCTGCTGCAAACATTTACAAAGTCACCATAATAATGATACATAAAACAAAAGTCTAACCTACGGTATTTTTAATTTGAAATATTTTGTGACAAGAAAATACATTTTCCATTACTATTACTGTACAATGGTATTTATTATGAACCATATTTAATACTGTTAAGAGTGACCAGTCATATGATTAAAAGCTTGTTTTATTAAAATCAGTCTTCCTGTACCATACCTTATAAAAAAATATATATTTTAATTATTACAGTTCCTGTATTTAGAAACTGCAATTCATCTTGACACAACAATGTACAAACATTAAACTTATAGGGCAATAAGCTGTAACAAACAGTACTGGGAAAAAATGGCACAGGAATAAAAGGCACAACTGTCAAATTAGGAAAAATACACAAGATGTATTAATGTTTCTGAAGGTCTGCAGACTTTAGACACTGGTGAGAATATATACACAGTACTGCTAATATTTGTTTATATCTATATTACAGTACTGTAGATTTACTAAGATCAAACTTTACACAATAGCGCAAAATACACTGGACTGACTGATTACATTGGATTTACCGTAAAATAAAATGGTGACAAAGTTTAAAAAACATCATTTGGCTCTCAGGTCATGTAAGGTCAGATTAAGGTAACATGGTCAACACACATTTGATCTGACCTCACCTGAAGTTTACCCTTCCTGGTACAACCTGGAGTGGAGATTCAGTTCTGATTGACCTGTGACAATATGTTGTCGTGTCAGCACTGGTCATTGACATGCTGGTCAGTAATTTAGGCGCCGACATGACAACCCATGTAAGGTAACTTGTCAAGTCAGGTAAAAACTTGTGCCGTCTTGGATTTACCTCTATCACGATACACAGTACAGTAGTGATTTTTTCCTGTACCATAATTTCCTATGCCATTTTTACCTACATTTGAAAACAACCATAATCAAAATGTTACAGATTTGTAAACAAGGTGAACATAAACCATTTTATACAATTGTTGTAAAAATTATTTACATTCACCTGAGTATGCCTATTTCACATTAATTTCATATTATTCACCCTTACAACACTATCTTGGGACAGAATTGTTTTTCTTAGCATAATAATACTGTGTGTGACTTCTTTGAGGAAATTACATTTAATAGCTGTGTAATATCACAATGAACCTTTACAATTTTATAACATGCTGCAGGGTCTCACTGTCTCCCCCACATGTTGCCAGCTCAGTCAACTTTTCAGTATTCCATTCAACAATAAAAACAACTTCAAACTCACACTACCAATTTAATATCCTACTAATGATGTCAATAAAAACCAAACATATGACATGGCCAGCCTTCACTTCAGGAGGTTGGGAGAACTGGCAGACCACTATACAGTATTCTCTATCTAAAACACTTTGTGTGTGAATACTGTAAATTGTTCATTAATGTCTATGATACACTATCAACATGAACACTATAATGTTAAAATTAACACTTACTAGACTAATACTTAATTAAATTAAATTTCCTGATCTTGATGTCCCAACACAGCCGATAGCTATAGAGGGCAATAGAATTGGCACACAGCTACATTTTTCTAATTAAAATGTATCTTTGCAACCAAATCGAATATAAAGCTATAATATAAAACTGAATCTTTTAACTTCTCATAGAAATAATGAAACCACATTTCTGGCAGTAAGCCTTCTGGCAGTAAGCTCTTATAATACAGGGTCCATAAGACTTTAAAGAAGGCCTCTCAGTGTCAGCCATTGTTAATCTTAAATTCCTTTGGATATGCAGTACTGACCATCCTTCCCTTACCCCATGTACCACTAGCTTCAGTGGAGAGAGACCACTAAGCACTCGCCCTGACATAGGGTCAACTTTGTCCCCATGAATCTGTACAAATTAAGGTTGAACACACCATTTCTGTTGGCTGACAGTACACAGCCAGTGCTGATCATCTCTGTTTTGGTCTTCTCTTACTTCTACAAAAGCTAAAGTGTTCTCCCCCCAGTACAGTATTGATATTCAGGGATTTGTTAGCCTTTTAAAAGATAAATTTCAGTGTTATCATTCAAGTTAGGCAAATTTTCTTCCGTTTGTTGTGTAATGTTTGTTTATATTCAACCAATGCTTTTGAGTCCATGTCAGCAAGTTGGATGGTGTACCAGTATTAGCATCAGACCTGAGACTTTTCTTCATAAACACTCTTAGTCAGGCTACATTTTTATGATGTTCTGACTGCAAGAATGGGTTTTGCCGCAGGCGTCAATTTTGAGTATGGCTAGTTAATGTGTTTTGTGCAAGTATTACATCTGTGAAAAGAGGTATTTTGAAGTTACACTTCTCAGAATGCAAACCCCAGGCAATGCATAAGTGTGATATGTATTGTCATTATCATGTTGGCTGTGTGGTTGGTTTATCATTATTGTTATGAATGGCATGTTAGCCACTGTGTAACTTGTTCATGACTACCATAATAGGTGTTATGGTGGACCATTTGGTCACTATTCCCTCATATCAGTGGTTAAACTCTATTTGCCATACCGGTAATTAAAATAGTAGTGAGGTAAAAACATCGTACAAGTCAAACATGACAAAATGGTTTCTGGAAGTCATATCTAAATTAATCTTGAAATTCATGATAAACACCTCACAGAAAATCACAGGAAGAAAACTTGAAGGGAGCACCCTCAGAGTCTGAAAAAAGTGAATTCTGGTGTAATGAAGTCCAGTGTATAGAGGTTCCACTGTAGTTTGAAAGACAGTAACACCGTAACACTGCCACCGTGCTTAGGGTACATAGAGAGAGTGGTTCTGTCATGGCGAGATTGAGTGTGTGCCATCAGTAACATGTGAAGTACATAGTACACCTTTGATTGGGTAATGATGATGCCTACCATGTTTCAAATTGTTCCCTCTAAAAAAATGTGACCAGTTACAATGACAAGTTCTGGGAGCATGATACAAGCATGCATGCACGCTTGCACACTTGGCGCGAATGATGAGTTTTCCTTAACCCAAAACTAGGTAAGTATGAAGAGAGCAGATTTAAATAAGCTGAAAAGTACAGTATACAATAATATAATGGAAATATTCTGACAAAACCTGACGACTATTATCTTCTGTTTGACTATTTTCTAAACTTACTTAAACAGTGATAAGAAAAACAAAAGCCTATACCGTTCTATAATTAATTTACACTTTTTCTGCATTGTTTAAATAGTTAAGGTTTAGATAATCAGTAAGATCCTGGGAGTTAAATTTAAATTTCCTAAAATGTTATTCAATAGCATAAATTATCATTGTGAATAGAAGTAAAAATGTTGGGAAGCGTGTGATGTAAAGCCTGACCTGTATGCTCTCTCCTTCCCGATACACAGGTTGCTGGTCCGTACGGCAGGTTTCGTGTCCATCTCTCTCATGATACTTGGAGAAGGGAAAGGGGAAAATGCAAAACCAGGGAAATACTATGAAGGAAGACAGGAACATGGATACATTCAAAATACATGTGCAAGCATGACATTTACATACAAAGAAATTAGAACAAGCTAGAAGAAAAGCAAGCCCATATCCATGTGGATGTTGGGAAGGCTATCCTGAAGGGACTACTGTACGTACAATACATCAACTCCTCAATCTAAAATTCAGTTAACGGTTATCTCATGTGTACAGTATAAGTATGTATGTATGTATGTGAGTACTATAATGATGCATACTTAACTAAAATCATGAATAAAATTGGATCTAACATGACCTACAATTTAACATATACAGTACACCTCTTTTTGTGTAACATTTCACTTTGCTTATAAAAACAATGGTTTAAATTTTCATTATAAATGTTTTTTGTCTTTACAGCCTCGATATAATGAAATTTTTTAGTGTCAGTGCCTTTCTGCCTTTCCTATCAATTATGTTTTTATTAGAAATATTCTTTTTTTATTATCTAAAATTAACAGAATTTAATTCAATTAATAAAACTGCAAATAAGGAATGTAATAAATGCATTAAGCTCTTGCATCAATGACCTTGAGTTTATGAATTAATGACTGCAATTTACATGAAGTTTAGCTGACAGAGAAAGCTGCAGATTTCACTTTATGTGAAGACAGATAAGACCATCACAAGAGTCACTAGAGATCCCAAGCCTTGAAAGATCCCAGCATATAATAGTATTACTGAACTATCTTCTGGTGTTTGAAGCCCAGAAGAAAACTATTAAAAAACAAATTAAATTTTCAAAAATTAAATACTGTATACCTCGGTATATGCAGTGTGAGAAGCCCAGGCAGCTACCATGCATGTGTAAAGTCATCCAACTAGTTCAAATACATTACATGCACATTTTTGAAGTGGCCAACCATAAAGCTTTAGTTATGTGGGAGAGGGAAGTACCAGGTGACTCAGGCTGATCTGGATATCATCGTAACAATTTTATGAAATCTATTTTTGTGTCTGGTCCAAATACATGTCTGCATCTCTCTCATTAAAAAAAAAAAATGAGGAGGTCTTCAGCCTCTTTGCAGAAAACAAGAATGGACTTCATGTCACCTTTCTTTTATGATGGTATCTATTTATTTTTCTTGAATAGAGCACCATCTCTTTCATTTAAAAGGTAAAAGATGCCTTCCTTATAAGAGTAAATGACTCGCTATAAATTTTCTCCATGAAAATTAAATTGTACTTCATCCAAGTATATCTATGTATCAATAGGAAAACAGAAAAGAATATACAGAATACAGTGGTCCCTCGGTTAACGAACGCCTCGGTTAACGAATTACCTTCCACCAAGAATCTTCAATTCGGTTAACGAAATCCTTAGGAAAATCACGTTTTGTTTTGAACATCAGCTGATAAGCTGAGGAGGTACTCAGCCAATTCAGTGATCTCTTCTATGTTTACATTCGCTTCCAATTGAGTAAATATCAAGAAAATTGTGTTCTTTAATATTTGTGCATTTTTTTTATACAGTACAAGTATTAAAATTATTGGTCATTCTAAAATTTAGCCATCCAAGCTACATAAAGTTTTTCAACTATTATTTTTGGCTCGATATATGTAACTTTATTCATTCATTGAAACTCATTTACATGCAATACACTGTCCTAAGGGCAAAGCTGAACTGTACATGTAATCAGAATAATGTACAAAATGATTCCTAAAATCTTTGTCCAGTGCAAGCTATGGCATGTTTACATTCAAATTAATCAATTATATTATAAGAATTACAGCAATGTAAATTATATTCTCCCCAGTCACTTCTATTAAATTTTATAAGAAAAAACAAAAACTCAATCTAAAGGACATAAATAAACAATTAAATACTTCACACCACAGGCACCAACTGTCAAACATGTCACTGTCACCCCCTCCTCCCTACCCCCCACCTTCCCAACAAAGGTTTGGGGGTTTTCAGTAGGCTTTAAGTTTTTATCTTATATAATATCTCAGGACTTAAGTTAGAGAATATAATTTGCAATATTGGAACCTTGTAAGACAGCTTAATTTGAATATAAACGCTACATATTTTGCACAAGAGATAAAATTAATCACCTGCATCACACACAGTAGTGATTAAGAAATTTAGTGTACTGTATATATATATATATATATATATATATATATATATATATATATATATATATATATATATATATATATATATATATGTATGTATGTATGTATGTATGTGTATGTATGTATGTATATATATATATATATATATATATATATATATATATATATATATATATATATATATATATATATATATATATATATATATATATATATATATATATATATATATATATATATATATATATATATATATATATATATATATATATATATATATATATATATATATATATATATATATATATATATATATATACAGTGACTCTCGCTAATCTAACACCCTCGGTTAACGAATTGATTAACGAATCGCCTTCCATAAGTGATCTTCAATTACAAAAAATTTCGCTAATTAAATCCTTCTTACTTAACCCACTCAACATGTTTTCGCTTTTTGCACTGACCGGGCAACCATTTAGTATCAGTCCGCCAATACATTAATCGGTTCTAGGCTTAAATTCATTAATATTTTTGTAAATATCAAGAAGTTTATAATATTCAATTATTTTAAAAGTTTAATATTAACTTTTTAGTCATTTTAACAATTATTGAACATAATTAGTTGCAAAGTGACTAGCTTTCTATCAGCGCTGCATCCAGCCTCTTAACACAGCAAACAGGCGCTAGTCTCTCTGTTTTCACTGGAGGTAACATCTTGCTTGGAGACTCTCTCTTCAACTAACGCTTTTTTTTCTTGTGTTTACAATATTAATATTTTGAAAAATTATTTTACATATTGACAATATATAGTGCAGTGCAGTGTTATTTTAAAGAAAATATTTTTATTTACAGCTAGTTTAATCCTTGAAAACACGCGGTTGCCATTGTTGAATCCAGCATGGGCCTAAGAATCAAGAAAAAGTGATTTCAATCCAATGAAGCAGGAAATAATAAAAAACACTAACAAGGTATTAAAATCAAAATGCGCTTATGCAAAGAATATGGCATGTCGGGCATCAACTGTGTCGCATACCCTGCACAAAAAAGACAAATTTAAGGAAGTGAACGCGGAGAGACAAATCTACAAGAGTGCTTAAAAGTAGATCCTCAATCAGAGAAACTGAGAAAGGCTTTATCATCTGGATTAGGGAAAACACAGATGAAAGGTGATCTGCTTCTGGTGATTTCATTTGTGAAAGAGCCAGGGAGATTTATGAACATTTAAAAGACAGATCAACCTAATTCTTCAGGAACAGAATTTGAAGATTTTCGCTAGCAAAGGCTGGGGTTCTCGAAAAATTTAAGAAAAGAAGTGACATTTTATGTTGTTAGCATGGTGAAGCTGCTAGTGCTGATAAAGAAGGGCAGCAAAGCTTTTTAATTGAATTTAAAAAACTGATGGAAGAAGGCACTATCTTCCACAGCAAGTTTTCAATGTTGATAAACTGGGCTGTTCTGGAAAAAGATGCCTAAAAAGAACATTCATCACCATGATGAAGGCTTCCTTACCTGGGCATAAACCCATGAAAAGACCGCCTCTACCTCTATTGCTTAAGCTAATGCTCAGGGATTTCCGACTGAAGTTTGCGCTTGTCTACCACTCTGAAAACCCCAGGTGTCTACAACAGAAAGTGGTAAGAATAATGCTTTGAGCCATTGGAAGTCCAACCGAAGGCATGGGTGACAAGACAGTTCTTAATGAATGGGCTATTGATGTGTTTTTGCCCTCTGTCAAGAGCTACCTAACCACCAATAAACTTCCTGTAAAGGCTTTTCTCCTCATGGATAATGCTCCTGGTCATGACCCTGACCTTGCCAGAAATTTGGAGTATAAATTTGACTTTGTGAAAGTGTTGTTTTTGCCTCCAAACACCACATCACCATACAGCCACTGACCAGAATAATGTGAGATCAGTAACTTCAAGAAGTTGTACATGAAGAAAATGTTTAGGAGGTGCCATCAGGCAACTTCCATTGATCCTGAACTAACACTGAAACAGGTTCTGAAGACACAATTCCAACGCCCTGGAGGCTGTAAATTGATTGTGGGCCATCATGGCAAGAAGTTCCACAGAACCCTTCAATTTTTCATGGAAAGCACTGTGGCCATCAGTAGTCCATGATTTTGAGGATTTGAGGATGACACAGAGTTGGACCAGGAGACGTGTCCATTGGTCAGTCATTGGGCTCCTTGAAGTGGAGAAGGATGTGAAGAGCTTGTGATGTCTCATGAGGAGGAACTTACTCTAATGACTTGAAGGAACTGATGAGATGTTACGGCAGAGGCTGACAGTAGAGGAGGAAATTGAAAGTGATGACCATATGTCAGCTACACAGTTGAAAAGATGTGATTTACCACTGGGAGAAGTTCAGGGAACTGGCTTCAGCACCCAGAAGTGGAAAAACTGAACTAGCTTTGTGTCATGTTGAGACCAGTGGTCTCCTTCTTAAACATAAGTTAATGGTGAGGAGGAGAAGATGCCCCACAGACCACACTGACACTTTCTTTTTCAGCAAAGGCAGAGGAACAAGATGCTAGCCCTCAGCCTTCCACTTCAAGAAGGAGAGAGAGGATGTCTATGGTGGAGAATCTGTCAGTCCAGAGGTTCCTTGACATTTTCATGGAAGGTATTCACCTTCCAAGAAGTAAAAATGCTTCTCCTCCACCTCCACTTCCTTCTCTTTCTCCTCTCCTGCACCTCCCACTTCAAATGCACATCATCACCATCATCCAGGAGCCTTTCTACATACACACCTCAAAAGTAAGTACATTTTTCCGCCTATTTTTGTTGAAGTTAGGGAAATTTTTCGGTGAGCTGAACCACTAATTCAAAAACCCATTGAAACAATGGTTTCGGGTTAATCTAACGTTTCGTTAAATTTTAACGACCTTCTGAACGGATTGAGTTCGTTAAATCGAGGGGCCACTCGTATATATATATAGTATATATATATATATATATATATATATATATATATATATATATATAGTGATTTAGGGGAATTTTAGGAGTGTTTCTGACTTTATGTGTTTTTGTCTTTACTTTGTATATACTTTTCTGTGAGCTGGAACCAATTACCCAATATCCCATTGAAACAATGGTTTCGGTTAACGAACGACAATCTGGAACGAATTGAGTTCGTTAACCAAGGGACCACCGTACAGCAAAATGTTATAGTGAGGCTTAACTGAAAAAGTAATGGATGAATATGATTCTTGTATGAGTTTAAAAGTATTGTAACTGTTGTCTTAGTGGTAGAAGCAAAAGCATATCTTCACTTATGCTTCATTACAAAAGTATAAAGAAGAAAAGACTTCATCATAAAAGCCTATTTAAATGATGTAATTAAGGAATATGTTTTGACTTAATTGTTTGAAAAAAATTTATTACAAAATGACTGCAAAATACAAGGATTGTTGAATAAATAAGTATATATGTCAGAATAGATCAAGAAATGCTACCAGAGTATTGTACTGTATTGTATTCACAGTTGAGGTATGTTGTGTGTATGTATGTATGTATGTGTGTGTTATATGTGTCAAAGTAAAGAATTACTTAAAGGTAAGTCTTATGCAAGGACTCAAAAATTTTAGATAAAGTATGGAACTAAGGTCCTAAGTGTCCACCAACATACTTGACTGATATATCAGTAAGGGCACTGAACTGTGTACTTTACTGTATAGTAAACCCTCAATTTAAGGATGAGTTGTCTACTTGATTTCTATATACGGTTTAACATCCTTAGCCTCAACAACGGTGAATAATTAGGGGTGTACAATACAGAATTCAGTGCAGGCCTTATGACTCTGCAATGAACATTGTTACCTTTATGAATTTCTAGTTCATATAGACTATCTGTTAAAGGCACTTCATTGTGATGCAGTGAAGTAATGGCTGATCTAATTGTCTTAGTAGTTATGATCCTCTGTTGTTCTCTACCTTAAGTCTCCCTTCCTAACTACACTTCACATTTTGTTTAGTCATATAAAAGCATAAACAAGTAAATCTAAACTAAACTATATTACTCCCTCCTACGTGTTGGCAATGATGCACTAAAATTATAATTTTGGTGTAATGATTATGCTGCTATTAGGTATCGCCTTACACTGTGTCTTTAATTGAGTAACAGGATTCGCAACCATATTATTGAAAATGTTGCAGGGTTATGTTTTTGCTTATACGGTACAGTGGAGTTTTGTTAATTTGCTGGCTATGTACCAGAAGACATCGGAAATTATTATTAAATCGCAAATTATAGTTTTATTGATTTAAATGGAAATAATTAGTTTGGTTCCAAAGGCCAAGAAATACTGTACCCATAAAATGTTCCAAAACTGCTTCAATAAACACAAATATTGTATATACCGGTAATGCATAAAAAATACAGTACTGTAACACATAAACAGCTCCTTCCTTATCATAATTTCTTGAGGGTTATGCCAATACACCAATATGGAGACAGCCAGGGGCCAGGCTGGCTGTGACTTCACTACACTATGTAAAAAAAAAAAAAAAATTACAGTATTGTAATAAAAATAATACCACACAATAACTCATCAGGGATTAAGTGTGGGACATTTTATTTTCATTTTTTAATTACTTCACTATGATGTTGTATCGACCCAGTACGAAAATGAACCTAAATAATATGGGATTATGTTGAAATTGCATAATATTTTATTTATGAGGTCAGAGGTGTGCACTTGCCTCAGGAACGGGAGAATGCTCAGTCCACCAGCCACTGCCCTGCCTCCCATAAACAATTCACTTACTGTACTTTTCATTTTTCTTATTCTATAGCGTTATATTTTCTTTATTTCTAAGTTACATGAGAGTATTAAAGTGATACTTATATTTCATTTTATTTATTTCCAATGCAAATTAGAGCAGTGAAATTATATTTCCACAACTTTCAAGTTTCTTATGTCAATAAATACTGCAGCAGCGAATTGTGAACATTTGACTGCAAAATTTAAAAGGGGGGTCGTAATAGAGGTAATTTACCCGCGAATTTAATAATGTGAATATGTATTTCATGAATTATCGAGACTCCACATTACAGTACAGTACAGTAATACATTTAACAATCAAAGCCAAGTATTGCTTCTATTAGTGGCCGAGTTAAAAAAAAGATGTTTCGAGTTTACGTATAATACAAGCTAAGCATAAAGCCCTACTTGTTGTTTTAACTGAAGAAAACACAGTGATGCAATTTATTTTAAAAGGAAAAGAGCATCATCCATAACTGAAGGAAATACTAAGGGTATGCAATATCTTCTATATACCGGGTAATGTCTTTTTTCATAAGGAAATATCTACCCTATCTTTCTATAAATTATCAAATGCTAAAATCAAGATCATCTTAAGCATCTATATACTATACTGTACTGTAATTGTTTACTTTATGCTATACCTTTCCTAGTTAGTTGAAATGTATTAATCTAATTTACGTTTTAGTATAAAAGGCCCATAAAAACAACCCTCACACAAAACATCAGTTACTGTACCAACTATTTTAGCCACTGCAGATATAGTGTTTATGGAGAGAAGAGACTTTCTGCCCTCTTTGGTGACTGTCCAGTAAAATAGTGTGTATGTTTCTATAAAGTTCACCCATCATGTAGGCTCTAAGTTTAATATTTGATAAAAGTGATAATATAGGATGTTGGAAGCAAATTTCTAATACTATGGAACACAACCTTATTTTTCCCATGGGGGTAGTTAAGTTTGATAAGTTTAATGTATAGTACAAGAACGTAATCACCATACAAATTGATGTCCATTGTACAGGCTAGGCAATATCATCTACACTAATTATGTACATCTACGACCCAGGGTTTACACTTTGTAGAATAACTTGCACATTAGTATGAATCCTGACTTATTGGATACTCAGATATGGTTAACTGAATTTTTTGTAATTGTGGTATTGATGCATATAACATTTTAGATAATTGGGATAACAATGGTAGATCAATTAATTAAAAAAATTATATAAATTACTGGAATTTACACTTGTGTTATGATTCTTTTGATAAATGCTTAGGAACCTTTGTTTTGAGTTGGCTTCAGAAATTTCCAAACAGTAGGAGGGAAGTACCATATGTATCCTAGTCTGAGTAAAGGAAAATGTAAGGTTTTCATAATAGGAGTTTGTAGGCTATCATAAATATTTGAGGACTTTATACTTGGGAGATGACTCACTTAAGGAAAATTAACAAGAAAAGTATTACATGTATATCACAAAGATCATTAATGACTATATCTACAAAGCACTCACTCACTTATGAATGAGCAAGAAAACAGATTCAGACAGAGGTGAGGCATTTCTACTTGTTACACAGACTTCTCCATGAACTCTGGGAACTTCATACATACAAAAAAGTAATACAGGAAAAGCCCACACACTTTCTACTTAAAAAATTCCAAGTTTATTAACACTTAAAAAAGTCTTAATGAATTTCCCCTTACAAGCAGTAAGCAGAATATACTTACCAGTCATCTGTTTCTCTTTCCCTCTATGAATGTTCTAAAATTGTAAGAACTTCAAAATCTGGTGCCACCAAAGACAGGTAAGTTACCCATCAATGGACTTTACCAGTTGGGGGATGGGAATTATATTAACATTTACTAAATAATCCAAAGTACATAGTACCAAACCCTTCAGACTTCAAGAGGATGTTTCCTGAGCTTCACCAACCTGTATGCTTTCTCCATCATGACAGATCAGTTGTGGCTCAACGCGGAAGTATTCATGGCCTTCCCGCCAGGTCTTCTCAATAACAGAGCGGTGTTGGTCATCACTGCCCATTACAGCATCAATGACACCCATTGCTCCTAAAGAAGATATGCAATATTATGTCTAGTCTTACATTGCTGTCAATGTGATGCACGAAAGTGAAATCTACATTACAAGAAAAGACACATTTGCCTGAGCATAGTGCACATATTTTACTTAGTGAGTCAATACCTACTGTGTATGCTATCACACACTTAACGTTGATCATGGAAGGAGTTCTTCCTCCATTCATTATACCAATCATACTGTAATTCTCCCCATTTCAATATTTTGAATATCCAAAAACAATGACCCCTAAAACTTAAAAAAAAAAAAGAATTCTGCAAGTTACCATGAGAATGGTGATTTAGGCATAAGGTGATCACACTACAAAATTCAAAGCTGGTAATTGAAACAAATTACCACTAATTTATGCCCCAAGGTGCTTTTAGCATTGGATGAAGGCAGTGAAGGATCTTCATGTGTTTTAGATACTTGACAAGGGTGAAAGAAATGACAGAAAATGAAATTGCCAGAAAGTACGTTCATTTTTTTTTACCAGTTAAGTACTGGTATGTGAGAAACAAAGATGATTATGAATATTCCCAAGGTATCAGATGTTCAAAGATGATGATAAGTGAGAGATAATATCAGAAAATTACAAATATAATTTAAAGAATAAAGTACCTGTACTGTATTATATCTAAATCTTTGTAGTAACTAATCACTTGATCTTTTTTGTACAGGATAAATACTCTCAGGAACTCATTTCTTTCTTCTCACTGACTTAGAGTACAGTATGTCACAATCACTCACATTTACTTTTCTTTTACAATACTTCAATATCTTTACTGATAAATTTACTCATTCCATTATTGAAGGCTCATAGTAAAAGCTGGTTTTTAATTATTATCATTTAGGAGTAATTCTTACCAGTTGGGGACTGTGGCTCTGGGCGGTGTGTTATGGGTACTTTAGTGCGTAGGACAGAGAATGACACATCATTCTTCATCACATCAAAGTCCCAACAGATAACAGATCCTGGTTCCTCTATCAGCAAAACCACTTCATGAACCTGCAGTAATAAAAAAAATAATAATATAAATTAGTGTAAGAAATGTACAGGTAAAACATCACTATTATCTCTATGTTAGTGAACTATATTATGTTGCTTGCTATCTACATAAATTAGATCAAGAGGTCTCCTTCCCACAATTAAATCTAGATATACTGTAGTATACCAACACCATGAATTATTTTAAATGCGAATATATTTATTCTTTAACTTTCGAACCATTCCCATTCACAACCATTAATAAAAAAGACTACAAATTATTTTTGGTTATATGGTAACAAAGGAAACGGGGTCAGAGAGAGAACATTACTCCTGACATTTTGGCACAAAGGACATTTGAAAAATTCCTGTGATAAAACATCAGGAGTAAAGTTGTTTCTCTGACAAATGACCTGTGATACCTGCATTGGCAGACCCCCTGACTCGGGGGTTTGACATGCTCCAATGGCAAAGTAAACTGTCCTAGTGAACTTGCATAGGTGCTGTACAGCTATTCCTCTAGTGAACTAGCATCAAAGTAAAACTTTATATTTCTGGAACTGATTGCTTCAACAAGTGAGACTTTAAGATCAAAGGGATGAAGCCCTGAAATAGTTTACTTCTTGTCTGAGCCCCTCATCTATAATTACATGTCTCATGGTTCAGCTCACCACAGCATTATCCAATGACTTATACTGTCCACATCTCCTTTTGTTCTGTATATGGACCTCATGTTTGAGCATTATGATGGGATAAGTGTTGTTCACACTTTCTAGCTCACTGACATTTATTGTTTTGCCATAATTTTTTTTCTTTCTGTACAGCATTATGGTCAGTGGCATAATATTTGACTAATATTCCAATCAAATTTGAACATTATCCCCATGAACACTTGATGTAAAAAAAAGAACCTATAGAAAGCAATACACTAGAGCATCATCGACTAATTCAAATCAAAATTTAACAGGGAATGAGGGGCTCCAACAGTCTGCTACCAATAGGCTATTAAAACTGACAACTGATTCCCTGGTTCTCTACTGGCCTAGAATATCAGGTCATTTGTCAACAACCTCTAGACTATATATATAGAAAACTGATGTAGGAAATCTCATTTTATAGCCAAGGGGAGGAGATGAGTGACAAGACTTCTCACCCAACTCCCAAAGTAGAAATCTAGGTCAGTAGTTATTATGAGGAGATGAACTGTGGAGCTCATATCTATTGATGAGCAGTTCAGACACCCCCACTAGCTTCTAGAGCAACCACTGTCCCAGGGATTTGAAGGTTTACTTCTAAATTGATACACTGGGTGGGGAAATGAAAACATCACTTCAAGTGATCAGATAAGACAGTGTACCCTGCTGCTGGAACACATAAAGCCTGACTAAAAAATGAGATTTCATACTTCAAACTTCCATTTCTTGAGAGGACAGAGTATAAAATGTCATATGCTTCATTTCCATGATATTTTATATCTATCAAGGGTAGAAGTAATAGAACCTACTGGGAGATGAAGAAAAATCAAGTAAGTCTGGACTGAACAAGTACTATAGTAAGGTACTCATGATATTTCAGAAATATGAATTCCTGAAACACACATATATTAAGTAAATACTGTACAGTACTATACTCATAACCATAATCAGCTTTTAAAAATTGGTATCTTGTAACTTTTCACTAATAACTATATTACAGGTATTAGCATATATTCTGAGTCCAATTAATATTAAGAACTACAGTATTGTAAATCCACAGGAATAACTAACAGGTGTACATTAAGTCATACCTGACCACGACCTAAAGAGACTGAATGATACATAGACTGGTCTGACAATGGGATGTGCTGCCTTGTTCCATCCACATCCTCCCCTGGCTGGTACATACTCTTAGGCACAAGACCACCTTCGTGCACCACAGTCTGCAGAACAGTAAAATGGTTAGTGCTATCCAAAATGTATATATATCTCAAATTATTACATTTCTATAACTTCAGTGCATATTAATATTCTACATTAATACTGGTAAAACAAGAACTGTATAACATTAGGTTATTTGCCTTCAGTTTTCAAGAGAACAGCAGATTGCTTATGAAATAAACAGAATCATGTGATGAAAAATGTATATCATCAAACAAAACCAAGAAGAAACAGAAGAACACACCAGATAAAGGGAAGATCAATGTCCATAAGGAAAGAAAATGGAAGAACAATAATGGAAGTAGAGGTTAAAAGAAAGAAAGTTAAACTACAGTAATGCATGAACTATTGTTATGTGAGGTGTTGTAATCATTAGAGTGTAAGATAAATTTTCTCTGCACAGGATTAAGAATAAAGAAAGGGGGAAATAAATAGGGAATGAAATGAATATACCAATTACTTACCAGTAATATTAAAAAAAGTAAAAATCTAATTTATTAAAAAGGAAAAGCTTTACTTAAAAAAAAATTACAATAAAGTGAATAACAAACAACGGTTGAGGCCATATACACAATGGTGGGCTTAAAAAGGTCTGGTACTCTCTTGATAAAGTTCCTAACTCAAAATAAAACAATATTGTACAAATAAAAGGTTAGCAATAAAGGCACAAACACACATATATAATGACATTAGCAAATAAGAAGGGAGTAAGGAGGACTTTTCAATATATTTTGAGAATCAGCCGAGGAAAAAATATTGTGTATGAAGTACAAAAGAGGAGGTTAGATCTGGAGTGAGGAAAAAGGAAGTGCTTTATACATATGTCAGGTTTGGTGCTGGAAGAAATATGAGACACTAAAATAGTAGGTGCTGTGAAGCATGAAGAATTCCCAGTATTATATCAATGTTAGGTAGAGTAATATGCTTCCAAAGTGTGTAATGTCAAAGGTATTTATTTTTTGAAGGGGATTAGCCCACTCAGGCACAGGTCACTGACCCACATCGGGGCCTAGAGGGCAAAAATGAAATATATGTTGTGTTGTCAATAGTAAGAGAAACAATTGAGACCCTGCAATTGTGTGTAAATGAGGCATTAAGTCAGATCAGCAACCTGGGACTTGGTCACAATTTTTGTGATGCCATATGGCAGCAGGGTCTACCATAGACAATAGAAGTATGATAAAGAACAAAGGGGTAAGTGTGAGGCTGGGTATTAAACACCAGGGTCAGGCACAGTCCTTTGCTCCAGGTGCAACATTCTTAAAATGTAAGATTAAAACAAAGAGCATAAAGAGAAAATAGAGTGTCCTGAAGAGCTGTGTAAAGATTTCAAGATTTAAATATTACAATAATAAGGTCTACTGTGTACTGTAATACATAACACATTGTGTATGTGATATGGTGCTTAATAAAGTAAAAGAAATTCTTGTTAAAAAATGAAGTAATGTACATTTAAATATTTGTGCAAGACTCAATGTTGGTTTAATGCTTAAATATCAAGTGAATAAAAAGTAAATTTAAATGACTGACTTCAAGTAGGATGAATATGAATGAAAAATGGACGGGGACTGAACCACATGGTTGATTTATAATAGTTGTTTAAGAGTGAGTAAACTGATAGTATATATTATAAAGTACAGTATCACTAGTGAACTGAGGGACTTGCTGTAGTTAATGAATGGTCAGAGTACCTACAACCTTCATCTTAAAAGACCCCCAACTACCCTAATCTCCTGGAGCCCAACCACTGCAAGTCTCACATTTCCAAATTCATAAGTGTGCCCATGGTAGGTGAGAAAAATAATACAAATATTTTCAGTAGCAGCAGCATAGACTTCTGGCCTAATGAGGGATAAAAGTGTTTAATGATGGTACTTGGAGGGAGGACTGGCGCTGTAAGAGTAAATATAATGTAAAAGAAGAAAGATAGAGAACAGGAGGGTGACAATCCTGCAACATGCTACAGTAGAGCTGTGGTGTGACAAGAGTAGTAAATTATATACAAGTTCTTTGGAGAGAGAGAGAGAGAGAGAGAGAGAGAGAGAGAGAGAGAGAGAGAGAGAGAGAGAGAGAGAGAGAGAGAGAGAGAGAGAGAGAGAGAGAGAGAGAGAGAGAGAGAGAGAGAGAGAGAGAGAGAGAGAGAGAGAGAGAGAGAGAGAGAGAGAGAGAGAGAGAGAGAGAGAGAGAGAGAGAGAGAGAGAGAGAGAGAGAGAGAGAGAGAGAGAGAGAGAGAGAGAGAGAGAGAGAGAGAGAGAGAGAGAGAGAGAGAGAGAGAGAGAGAGAGAGAGAGAGAGAGAGAGAGAGAGAGAGAGAGAGAGAGAGAGAGAGAGAGAGAGAGAGAGAGAGAGAGAGAGAGAGAGAGAGAGAGAGAGAGAGAGAGAGAGAGAGAGAGAGAGAGAGAGAGAGAGAGAGAGAGAGAGAGAGAGAGAGAGAGAGAGAGAGAGAGAGAGAGAGAGAGAGAGAGAGAGAGAGAGAGAGAGAGAGAGAGAGAGAGAGAGAGAGAGAGAGAGAGAGAGAGAGAGAGAGAGAGAGAGAGAGAGAGAGAGAGAGAGAGAGAGAGAGAGAGAGAGAGAGAGAGAGAGAGAGAGAGAGAGAGAGAGAGAGAGAGAGAGAGAGAGAGAGAGAGAGAGAGAGAGAGAGAGAGAGAGAGAGAGAGAGAGAGAGAGAGAGAGAGAGAGAGAGAGAGAGAGAGAGAGAGAGAGAGAGAGAGAGAGAGAGAGAGAGAGAGAGAGAGAGAGAGAGAGAGAGAGAGAGAGAGAGAGAGAGAGAGAGAGAGAGAGAGAGAGAGAGAGAGAGAGAGAGAGAGAGAGAGAGAGAGAGAGAGAGAGAGAGAGAGAGAGAGAGAGAGAGAGAGAGAGAGAGAGAGAGAGAGAGAGAGAGAGAGAGAGAGAGAGAGAGAGAGAGAGAGAGAGAGAGAGAGAGAGAGAGAGAGAGAGAGAGAGAGAGAGAGAGAGAGAGAGAGAGAGAGAGAGAGAGAGAGAGAGAGAGAGAGAGAGAGAGAGAGAGAGAGAGAGAGAGAGAGAGAGAGAGAGAGAGAGAGAGAGAGAGAGAGAGAGAGAGAGAGAGAGAGAGAGAGAGAGAGAGAGAGAGAGAGAGAGAGAGAGAGAGAGAGAGAGAGAGAGAGAGAGAGAGAGAGAGAGAGAGAGAGAGAGAGAGAGAGAGAGAGAGAGAGAGAGAGAGAGAGAGAGAGAGAGAGAGAGAGAGACATCCAACTGAAGATAATCATCAATATATTGTCAAGTTAGTTAATATTGTATTAAAACACATTGTCAAATCATCATGGGTTGTGAGTCTCAATTTCCACAGACCAATACAGTACACCTGTAATATACAATTACTCTTTTAACCACACATTGCATTTGTTATTAACTTAAATACAAAAACTGCAATAATTATTTTGTTAGTACAGTACAGTGGTACACTAACATTATCAGGCAGCACAAAAGCTAGTCTTATTTAATCATCATGCAACACATTGTTAACATTATTACTGGTCTGCACTCATCTGAAACTTATGTACTGTATGTACAGTACAGTGCCCGGGTGGGCTATTCCGAAAAAAAAAAAAAAAAAAAAAAAAAAATTATATATATATATATATATATATATATATATATATATATATATATATATATATATATATATATATATATATATATATATATATATATATATATATATATATATATATATATATATATATATATATATATATATATATATATATATATATATATATATATATATATATATATATATATATATATATATATATATATATATATATATATATATATTGTCAGAAACAAGAGCAAATACACAATACATTTTCCTTCATGTCATCATTTATTCATTCTATTATAGAGCGCATTTTTCTCAGCTGAGAAAAGATGCCCCCTCAAGAGTTACAGCTGATTGGCTGTTGCAAACCTGTCCAATTTTGTCCTGAAGTAATGATGTATTCCTAAATGAGCTTATTCATAATTGTCGGGATGACCGTTTCTGACGAGAAAGATATTTAGCTAAATTATGTAAAGATACATACATTCATTATTTGAAACATAAGCAAGTAGGAAGTTTATCAGAAATATTATACATGAATTAACTGTTAAACTCTGGTAGCAAATTCACACTTTTGGAGGATGCATTTAATATATATTTACTTTTACCCACAATAAAACATACTAAGACAAATTACGTATCAGTAATACTACATTATGGAAAAACAACATTTTAAAAGATGAGAATCACAATGAAATATTACATGACCGTCAGCAGAAGCGGGAAAAATATGAAGTTGTTTGAGGAGGGGACGGGGCATCTTTTCTCAGCTGGGAAAAAATGCACTATACCTGTATTGTTAAAGATGTCTTCTACTAGGGTAAAGTACCCCCCCCCCCCGAAAAAAGGCCCCAATCATGGGTTACCTACATCATGTAACACAAGCCAGAATCATTCTTCAGCAGCACGTCCTTCCCTAAAAATCACTCAGTACAGTACAGTACAGTACACTGTACATCAACTTTGGAGACGAAATAATACTGTACTCCACATATCTACTACAGGAATACATTGTAGAATGAATAGAAATACTGTATACTGTACAGTACATACAAACAAACACTTATGTTCATGAAGACAGGCAGACACACACACTAATATTCACTTCGATACATCTTGTAAAGTTATTATAAGCTTTGTAACAATGTTATGGAATGATTTACAGAGGTACCCATAATCCATGAACTTGTGTAACCAGTTAATGCATCGTGAACTTGGGAGATTGTTAAGTCCTTAAAGATTGAGTATCTTGCAAGCTGTGATGGTGAAAAGCTTTTTTTAACTACTGTACTAAATTTATTTTTTGTACCAAAAACTAGTGTGACAGAAATGCCCAACATTCATGATGACTATGACAAATTCAGATGTTTTGAACACTTTCATATTTGGTTATTACTATAATAGCTGGAACCATATGTATATTACTGCTTGTCACTCAAGATGAGAGTTACTCATACACTGTGCCAACAGGAACTTAATTTTTCTCCTGTGAGTGAGTGAGTGAGTGAGTTGGTAACTTGGCTAAATAAAATACAAATAACTAAATAATGGTTAACTGATTGTAATAGCGACAATTTTAGGTTTGGTTATACAGTAGTTGTAAAATGAGGGATTTGATCTTAAAACCCTACTATATCTCAGCATGGAATGAGCAGCTAGTAAGCTGACACCTCAGGCTTCCCAGAAACCCTTCATTTGCATGATTAGGCAATACTCCAGATATCGTATTAAAAAAAAACCTCTCCCAATTCAAAGACACAAAAATTACAGGAAGAATTTTCCCCAAAAGAGGGAGCGTAAACAGGGAGCTGGATGATACAGTACAGTATCACAGCCATCACTCCTAAGTCTGATAACCCTACTACTGTACTGTACAGTACTAAGTCCCTAGACTTGATGACCTAACCTTTTGTAAACAGCATTTTCAACAGTGATCAAAACAGAAAGAATAAAGTGCTGATGTCCCATGAGACAACAAAACTTGAGCAAGACTCAAGTCTTCTCTAACATTTCATTACCCATGAACATTATAGAGATGACTCCAAAATGACATGAAATATTGTGCCATCTGCCATGACAACTGATAACAATGTTTGAGAGGATTCATCCCTCGTGTAAGAATGAACATCCTTGAAGGCTAATGCTCAAAAGGAGGACATAGCAGTACAATACTGTTTAAGAACCTAACTTGTACTGCATTGGCCTCCCGACTAACATTCCTTCTAAACAGCGTGACTGCATGGCCGCAAATGGCAATCAAGTGCTGCGCACTTATCTTTTCCAGCTGCATTTATGGTCAGTGATGGTGACATCTCTTTTTCATATAAAAAAACAACTTAAGGAGTGCACCTTGTTAAGTATCCCTTGTTTTTAAATACTAACTACTTCTTGCAAACTTTAAAACAAATATTGCATAGGATATAAGCTTCAGTTTTTTTTTCCATTGGTGGCTCATCACCTTGATCCTGGTGCACACAAAAATATATCCTGCATTATGTTGTAAAAATTAGAGGAAACCTTGCTCCTGACCTGAAGGAAAATTTAAGCAACACAAATTCACTTTGAAAACCCGACTCTGTCCCTGTCCCTTAACATCACTTCTCAACCTACAATCAAGAATATAAGGAGTAATGAGCAGTCTATTTTTCCCCAAAGTGAGGAAATTTTACACTGAGATAAGCCTGTCCAAGTACAGTATAATAAATGACACCACCACAGTGGCAGAGATAGGCCAGCTGCAACACATTGAACAACAGGTCATATTTCTATAATGCTAAAGGGAAAATTTACTTGGTTACAACAGTCATCATGATTAGTAATCCATAGTTATCAAGAAGATGAAACCTCAACTCTCTACTGGGAGTCCTATGAACCTGTTTTTGAAGTAACCTCAATGTTTGAACTGTTATAAATAAACTCTAGGCAAACCCCTCAACACAAGTCCTGTTGAAAACATCCATTGACCATACTGTCAGTTGACTACCAAATGAATCATTATAAGCAATTGTAAACAATCATGACAATTACAGTACAACCAATATATAATGCTAAGGATCAATAGTCTATGCTCAAATAAATGCTGAATATAAATAGCCCATTGAGAGACATCCAAGCAGCGGGAAGAGTGACTGAGAACTGTAGGCTGGTTGAGCCTGGACCCTATTTTATGGTCTGCTTGCAACACAGAGTATATATTGTATACAAAAGAATGAGTGACACTCACAGCTCTCACTTGATGGTAACTATCTACTACTACCCCTTTTTTTAGAGACTGCAGTTGAGTTGGGAGAGATCCTATCTTTAGAATTCTGAATTTGTATTAGATTTCTCAAATACAGCCCAGTTACACAAATGGAGAGGTCCTGGAAGCCTCGTGGCGTCAGCCCACTAGCTTGGTAACAAAGAACAATACCTGCCCATTCTAGTGTGTCAGTTAGAAATGGATGTAATACATTTTTAACAATAAAAAATTAAGAGGATACTTTTCATGATTTGACACACTGGCATTATATTATCTTATAATGTACAGGGGGTCCTCGACTTACAAACTCCCGACGATACGAACAGGGTTAAACTTGAAATTTACAGTATTTGATTAACCTGATGACTTACTTTTTACTTTCATTTACTGTAATTTGTCATTCTATTTCTTCTTTTCTCTTAAACTAAGTGACTTTAGATGTATATAAGGACTTAGGCCATGATATAGTGGGATTTTAAACATTGTTCTGTAAGTACGGTATGCACATAGCATGTGTTTCAACTTGCTCACAAATCCGACTTAAGAACGTCCTCAGGAACGGAATCCATTCATAACCTGGGAGCCCCTGTATTATATAGCTATACTGTAATGAATGCAAAGGTCTCTGTTTGTCCTGCTGTGAAGACACTTATTGCTCTCATAGATTTTGGTTTATAATTTTTAAACTTGATAAGGGTGATTCTAAGGAGGGTGACAATAAGAGGGTTTTAATTACAAGAGAGAGGCTGAAAAGTACATCATATGTCTGCCACACCACAAAACTTGATCAGCAATGGGTTGTATGAAGGAGAGCAGACCCCATAAAACTGCCAATCACCCTATTCCAAACTATCCTGCAGCAAGGACACCAGGTTGGGACTAACAATAATAGGGGTTGCATTTAAGGTACACTTAAAAGTACCTTATCTGTAGGATGGCTCTAAGTGCTAGAGCTATGAAATAGGAGATATATATACAGGTACACCACCAATTTTCCGGGAACTGATGGTCCGGCACCTCCTTTAGTCCGGGCAAAATTATGAGAGGGCACTTAACTTCCCTCCCTCCCAGCCAGGGTGAAGGTAGTTTTAGGCTTAAAGTTTTTATCTTATAAAATGTAACTGACTAGACTTAGCAGAATATAATTTACATTGCAGGAATCCTTGTAAGATAGTGATTAATTTGAGTATAAACATCACATAGTTTACACAAGAGATAAAATTTTTAGTCTAGTGTAGTACATTTGAGTACCAAGTGTGTACAGTACAGTAATGTTGTTCAAAATTATGGCCTTTTCACATTTAATTTACATTTAATATTTGTTTAATTTAAGTTTCTAGTAGTCCATGGTGCTTTAGAGACACAGGAGGTGTATAATTAGTGGGTCAGAGGTGAATTGTTGAATTATTATTACCTGACCTCAGTTGGTCTGGCAAAACGTATAATCCAGCAAGGCTTTGGAATCAAGGGTGCCGGAAAATCGGTGGTGGACCTGTATACACTGTATGAATACCTATTAGGTGTGTGAATTGATTGAAAAGACATATGACTCAAACATCTGGGTTCACACTCAATTTTCTTCTTAATAAAAGTAATAAAAATCTTCTTTTTTTAAATGTAAAAGGGCATTTTTCAAACTGTTACTGATATTTCTGGTAAAAGACAAGATGCATTGCATGTGGTAGCATGTAGCAGGTGATATTTTGCAGGTGATAACACATCACACACTTAGCCAGCTCCTAAAAATTTATTAATCCTTTCTCTCTCATCATAAAAGTGCACTACCGTACATGGTCTATAGCATAATGTTAGTTTTATTATTTGATTTCTTTTATTCCTGGTGACATACAGGTATTACTTTAAACTACTATTTTGTAGAGCAAATGCTGAATTAATAGAATTACTGCACAACATATTGTTTAAAGTATATGGCTAAAGTCTGATTAATGTAGTTGCAAGTTAAAAATATAACATAAAGATCAAACCTTGTGAGTGGACAAAGGGCAAACCAACCAACTTGCAAGATGATTTTTTAAGAGAACCTTACAATATGAATACTGTACTGTACATTTTAAGTACAAACAATGAGTGCAAAATGACAGGAACATTATAAATTAGCATGTAATTACAAGTGAATCTTGAACTGATATTATAAGAGTCATTTGGACTTCTTCTGTAGACTTATACTGAAGGTATCTTGCATAGAGGGTGTCTTGTGTTATTCCTGAGCTAAGGCATCAAAGATGATGGAAGCCTAGATTATTCTTGAATCCACCTCAATCCATTTACAGTATTCATGATACAGTGTATGCATATAGGGACTGTACAGTACAGGGTATATACATAACTGATCTCATAAGTGAAAGTGAGTCTCATAGGCATGACTCACTACATATATCAATATAATTCTTGTCATGTCTTATATATCTTTATAATATTTAAAATTATATCACATATAATTTAGGTGCACTCAAGATCAAATCTAGTACAATATCCATTATTAAAGATTGCCCAAGATTTTGGAGTAATCTCTTACGCAAAGCTCCAGCTCATCTGGGTACATGACAGTGTACATGGACTCAGGTACAGGGCCAAAGCGAGATAGAGTACTTCGCTGTTGTCAAAACGCCGACCACGACAATGAGAAAGACAGACAGATACAGTAGATAAGAGAGTAAAAATAAGAGTTCACTAATACATTATAAATCCATATGAAGGAGACTATTCTTAAGGTAAAAAGTCAAACATCTTTACACAAATGACTAAATTGCCTCACATTGAAAGTTTACACACACAAAAAAATGCCAAAAAGACTTCTCGAGTCTAAATATTAAGTTGAAACAATTATTAAAAATTAAACTGGAAAAAAGTTGGTCAAAGAAGTACCAATGAAACACTGGAACATTAGAAATTTTACCCATTTAAGAACAACTCACATAAAGGTGGCATGATATACAATTCCTCATTATTCAGTAGATATTTCCTCTTTAGGATATGATCATGCCTTCTTGAACTTCATCTTACACAGCTATACAGACACTCCCCGGTTTACAGAAGGTTCTGTTCCTGGACCCTATCTGTAAGCTGAATTTTCTGAAAACCGAAAATGACCCTTCCAAAAGGTGAATACGTACTGTACCCTGTACTACTGTATATTGTACATGGAGCACATTATAAGTCTCGCAAGGGGATGTTATGCATAATCCTCCTAAAATAGTGTTGCTATGCCATACTTGTTACCTTCTGCAATAACAGGAACTCTTTCACAACCCAAAAATTTTATAATGGGACTTATGAGAGGCATTCTGCATCCTCGAATTTCCCAAAACCAAGTGTTCTGCAACCTGGAGTGTGTCTGAATACGGTCTATTCACAAATTTCAAAAACCAAAACACAGAGTTCATTGACATGTTGTATTCACTGTTTCCCTTTGTATTAGAGCTTAAAGTGACATCATGTAAACTCTCTAACCCAACCGAGTCCCAACATTTTAGGAATGACTGATCATCATTGTGAGGAAAACTTGTGTTCATTTAGAGTCTCTGGCAGTCCTTCAAGACTTTTTTTGGGGAGACATATTTATATATTTTGTCTATAGAGAAGCTTCTCCAACAAAAATCTGAGTAAATAATTCAAATCCTAGAATTTCATTTACTTTTCAACGTCCACTAAGTAGGGGATAACCGGTAAATGACTGAACACATGCTGAACTGATCAATGTAACTTTTGGGGAAAATTAGGATACAATCCTGGCAGGACAGTTAAGAAAATATAATCTTTATTGCAGCCCTTACAAAATAAAGGGTACCGGTCATCCCACCTGTTGTTAATTCAAGGAAAGTCCATGTTCGAACAACATTATTTAAGTGATTCAAGATACCTGTACATGTAAAATTTCTGAATTTTGGGATGTGTGTGGTGATGGGAGGGGCTTTCAATAGGGTTGGAATATTAACCTCCTTTTCCCAATGGTTACATTGATCTTGGTGTACAGGTGTACCCCAAAACCGGACGTCCCATTAACCACCGCTTCGCATAACTGATGATTAACATATAGGGGAAATATCCTGCAAGTTTCGTTGATACCCCGGAGATTCGATGATCGGGATAGGAGCAGCAGAGCTGTTCTAAATCTGGCGGGCGGTGGCGTGGTGCGAATTCTTGCCGTGAGAGGGCTCTGCCTGCTTCCCTGACTCATTTATACCATCTTTACTCTTGTTTACACTTACTAGGTGTCTCTGACTTCGTTTTCTTTTCTTTATTTCCGACTTAAGTGTGTTACTCAATCATGCCTAAACACAGCAGTGATAGTTCCTCTTGTGCTGGGCAGCTTGATGTGATGTGATAAGGAATAATAAGAGTGGTGATGGACCAGCAAAGAGTGATAGTCTTGAGCTTGCCACCCTAGACTGTCTCTACCATCCTAAACACAGGTAAATAACAACCTCAATTTATGTTTTACATTGCCTATTTAAAGCCGATTGTTCTTGCTTTATATGTCTACAAGTACTTTTTTTTTCTTGACAGTTTGCATGAGATATATATCAAGGGTTGATGAGAGTTTTTGGTGGGTGGCCAGTCCCTAATCCCCTAAATTTGCGATGTTCTTATGGGATTAACTGCTTCGATAAAAGTTGATTCACTAACCAACAACTTTTCCCGGTCCCTATATGCGTCGGTTATCGGGGTACACCTGCATTCAGTATCGCATTCCTGTAGTTGACAATCCCTTACCCGAAATCCTTGGGGCCAGAGGTGATTCGGATTTCGGAATTTTTCGGATTTCAAAATGGTTAGGTTAGGTTAGGTTATTATTATTATTTTATTTTATTTTTTTAACAGGGATCAGCCCACCCGTGCACAGGTCACCGACCCACATTGGGGCCTGGGGGATGATGATAATAATAATAATAATAATAATAATAATAATAATAATAATAATAATAATAATAATAATAATAATAATAATAATAATACAGTAGAAGTCCAAAAATCCGGACTGTTTGGGGATTGGGTCGGTCCGGATTTTCGGATTTTCCGGATTCTCAGGCAGTACTTTTAAAATTCAAATTTAAGGAAGAATAAAGAAGAGATGAACAGGTACATTTTGATAGTTTATTCATTCGCAAATATAGTATGCTTCATTTATCAAAACGAGCAGTTTTAATGAAAAAGCTGTGAATTCTAGAATTTTTTTCTTTGCCTTTTATATATCATAAATTGTAGACTTTCCAATGTCGTATGTTTCCATTAGAACAGTATTGCTTACACCACGTTCTAGTTTCTTAATTAGTTCAAGTTTGTCACTCAATTTCAACGTGTTCTTCTTTCTCTTCACACAACGAAGTTTATCTACTTTAGGAGCCATTATTATGGGCTTGTACAGTACTCTGTAAATGGAAAGAGTAGGACTCAAAATATTGTTATATTACAATGGTATTCTATTCATACTGTGCTTGATATAATGCATTCACGGAAATGTAATATTTTTGCTGAACGTACGTATTACAGTGGAAAGTGGGATAAAATCGTGACGAAAACAATGACTTTCGCTTTCTTTCGCTCAAAAGATGTTACCGTAATCGCTTTTCGAATGGTTTTCAGTTCAAAAGCTGTTGTATTTCAATAATATTCCCTCCTAATTGACTTGAATAAATACTTGAAAGGAAATATACAATATTTTTGTTGAAACTACCCGCGTTTCAGTGTAAAGTGTCGTAATAATAAATGGTAAACAATTTGCCTTCGGCACTCGTGTTTCATGCACGGCTAGCCTCAGTTTATAGGACGTAGAGCGTTTTTACTGAAGGTTTTGTTGTTCCAATACCCTTAAAAACGTGGGTCGAACTATAAACGAGGAATATCAAAAATTAACGATTTCTTGGTAAAAAAATCAGGGTCAACTGATAAACGAGGGGGGTTATAGACGAGTATATATGGTATGTTGTCACAATTTGATTGCTCGTTTTAAAGTGGCGACCACATGATCGCTTGTTGTCGCTGTGCAGCTGTGGCGTTCACGCATGCGCACATACACACAAAAGCCCGCTAAAAAAAAAAAATAGTTTTTGAAAAGTCCGGATTCTCGGGTGGTCCGGATTTCTGGCATCCGGATTTTTGGACTTTTACTGTAATAATAATTCATAGGTCTTGGTCGTGCTTCTCACTTTTGATCTTATTTTCATTCTTGTATTTCTTTATTATTATTATTATTATTATTATTATTATTATTATTATTATTATTATTAATATTATTATTATTTCTATTATTGCTGTTATTATTATTATAGTTATCATTATTATTTTATCATTTAATTTTTGTGTATTATTTATTATAATTTGTATTTACTATGAAATATTATTATTATTATTACATTTTCGTCCTCCAGGTCTCAATGTGGGTGAGTGACCTGTGTCCGGGTGGGCTGATACCTGTTTAAAAAAAAGGGGGGGGTGATGCTCCACAAAAAAACTTTCGGTTTTCAGAGGTTTTCAGAATTTTGGATAAGGGATTGTCAACCTTACTACAACAAGAGTACCGTGAACATTAAATCGTGACCATTTTCAAAGACAAACATACGACTAACTTTTAAAATGGTTCTTCAAAATAAACAAGTGAGTTAGAGTCTCCTTCATTTAACAACTCACAAAATTTTCAGTAAACATACATGTGTCATAAAACAAAAGGAAAATTAAAAAGTTTAATCTCCATAATTCCTCATTAAAAAAAAAAAAAATATAACTCACCTTGCATTCTCCTCCTAGGAAATCGGGGATATTCTCTTTTGGCATGTAGTCAACCAAGCCACCAGGTCCTTGGTAATCATTTCCACCATAAAACAGAAATTTGGACCTGAAAATGAGAGCATGATATGCATTAGTTTAATTACCATATCATTTATTATAACATAAATTAATAAAACATTATCTAGAAGACAAGGTAAAAAGGGTAACACAGGGAAACAAGAACTGGCTCATTTGTTATTAGACTCCCCACCGCGAAGTGAAAGAAGAAGGCTAGTGGGGCAATGAGTTCCTGTTTTGGTACACACTTAAGACTTCATTGTGTTTGAACATAAAAAAATAATGCAAAAATGGCAATTGCACATAATTCCTATTACATTTCCTGATGACAAAATAGTCTCGGGCATTGCTGAGAAGAATAATGAAATTCAAGAACTGTTAGATAAAGGCTTCAAGTAATCCCTTGTTTTCACAAAGACAAAAGGAGAAAATAAACTCGTGGTCATGAAGAGGTCACCTGAAGTATGAAATCCCATAGAGAAGTTTCAAGGACACATTTATGTTGGCCTGTACACATGCAAAGATTATGACAGGTTTTTGGTCACTCAATGCTACCACTGTCAAAAATTTGGACATCTTGCTTCAAGCTGTCCCAGGAACCCTGGTTCTCCAGTTTCTGCCTTCTGTGCAGGCAGTCAGTCATGAGTCTAGGTCTGACTAAGGACCTGCTCAAATAAGACCTCACCTTGCTGTGCAAATTATTACACTCTTGCAGTGTCAGTCAGTCATTTTGCATCAAGTAAAGATTGCCCTATGATAACTTTCCAACATAAAAAGGTAATTCAAAATACCTGTTCAAAAAACCCATACTCCATGGTACAGGTTGTACCTCTCTAGTCCGGCATTCTGTGGTCCGGAAACTCCCGTGGTCCGGAACGATTTTAGTTTGTCCAATAGGAAGATAGGCAGCTTTACGGTTATTCATTTATTTATTATTATTTTTTTTTACTTATCTGAATTATTATTATTACAGGAGTATTAAATTTTTGCCCTTCAGGCCCCAATGTGGGTCAGTGACCTATGCCCGGGTGGGCTAATCCCCATAAAAAAAACAACAACAAAGCCGCGGGAAATTAAGGTTTGTTTACATCCAGCAGTTTGGCTGCTCTCTCTCTCTCTGCTTGTCTATACAGAGTACAACATTTAACCCTTCAATATATATGAGCAGTAAATAAGTGTTGCTTTCATATTCTTATGGAGAGTAATGACGATATGTTTTCACATGTGCGCACTTACATAAGCGCAGTCTCACTTTTTTTTTTACCATTAATGGTTAGCTACTTATATTGTTCCATTTATTAACATTAAATAACATTACAGGTACTTCAAACAACCATATTAATTTTTTTACATTAATTTTACTACAGCTACAATCAGGGTCTTATTTTCTTCAGTTTTATATGTAGAACCAATCAGTCACTGGTTTTGTAAGCTTTAACATAAACAATGCCGGCAGCCGTCTCGTCGTGTGTTTTAATATTCCAGGTATTATTAATAAATTGTATTGTTAATTTTGCACACACAAACATTAATTCAATAAAAACAAATTCCGAAACATTAATTAAAATATATATGAACAGTAAATAAGTGTTGCTTTCATATTCTTATGTAAAGTAATGACGATATGTTTTCACGTGTGCGCACTTACATACGCGATCTCTCTTTTTCTTTACCATTATCGTTAGCTACTTCTATTGTTCCATTTATTAACATTAAATAACATTACATAAAACAACCATATTAATTTTACTACAGCTACAACCAAGGTCTTATTTTCTTCAGTTTTATATGTAGAACCAGTCAGTCACTGGTTTTGTAATCAACGAAAACAATGCTGTGTCATTTCCTCGTGTGTTTTAATATTCTACGTATTATTAATGAATTGTATTGCTCATTTTGCACACATAAACATTAATTCAATAAAAAAGACATTCAGTAATAAACAATAATGAATCTTTTGTACATAAGAGAAATGACGCTGTTTACACGATTATGCACGTCGTCTGCACGTTGGCGGGCCGTTCAAACCCGTCGAAATTCAAGTTTCCGCCGTCAAAATTTTTATTATTTAACGTTGAATTAAAAACTCGCGAAATTTGAGAAGCTACTATACGACATTTAACCCTTCAATATGTCTTCAAAGAGACCATGATGCAGAGAAAGTGGTGCTAGTGCTTCCAAGCATAAGCATAAGCATAAGCACAAGTCACTATCTATCCAGGAAAAGGGTGAATTTCCATGGTCCGGCACTGGTCAGGTCCCGAGGTTGCCGGACTAGAGAGGTACAACCTGTATGACTCATCTATAAGTTCTCTTCCTGGGGATCATAGAAGTACAGAATGAAAGTGGAGTAGGGCAGCAAACAGACCGTACTAGATCAGAATACTGTATATGACTGCGTGTAGGGCTGCTGTTTGTTCAGTAGGGGCGCGCTTAGTTGAATACAGTACTACACAAGTCAAGTAGCCTCTTGTGGCAGAGATCAGAAAAATTGTATGCAGTTATGGATGGGCTGTTGGGCCAGAGGTTCTTTAGAAGAACTGGCACTTTTGAGAAACAAAAGACCACTATTTATTATTATTATCGTATTACAGTGACCCCTCGTTTAACGAACGCCTCGGTTAACGAAATTTCGGTTAATGAACTGCCTTCCATAAGGATCTTCAATTCGGTTAACGAACAAAAATTCAGTTAACGAATTTCTTACGAACCGACCTCAACATGTTTTCGCTTGCACTGACCGGGCAACCAGCTTTAGTATCAGTCCGCCAATACATTAATCGGCTCTAGGGCTTAAATTCCTTACTATTTTAGTAAATATCAAGAAGTTTATACTATTCAATAATTTTAAAAGTTTAATATTCAATTTTTTAGTCATTTTAACAATTATTGAACATAACTGAAGGTAAAGTGACTAGTTTAATGCGTGGCATCCAGCCTCTTAACACAGCAAACAGGCGTTAGTCTCTCTCTGTTTTCAGTGGAGGTAACATCTTGCCATGGGGTGACTTCTCTTCCACCCCAATGACTTCTCTTCTTCCTTCTCCTCCACCCCCATTCTAATTCCCATCATCATCATCATCATCCAGGAGCCTTCTACATACACACCTCTAAGTAAGTGAACTTTTCTACCATTTTTTTGAATTTAGGAAATTTTCGGTGAGCTGAAACCAATTACCAAAAAACCCATTGAAACAATGGTTTCGGTTAACGAACTCTTCGGTTAACGAACGACCTTCTGGAACGGATTGAGTTCGTTAAACGAGGGGTGACTGTATTATTAAAACAAAATTTTAATAATTTGTGAATCTCCTTTTCCTGAATAAAGTTAATGACCATCTCCCCCCACTTCTTTTAAACACTGCAGCTTCACCTGAATTCTCTGCTAAGGTATTTCACAAGTTGGTACATAACATTATTGTACCATAATTACCTGCGTACTAAATGTACAACCACTAAAATACTATTCGGCACCCGTGTCATATTGTATCACGCCGTAAGGGTGCCGAATAATTTTTTAGTGGGTGTACATAAAATTTACATCATATAAGAGGGATGAGAGTTGCCTTCACAACAGAACACACACACACAGGAATGGATAATCAAGAAAGTAGGAAAAGACAAACAAAATTAAAGTAGAGAAACTATGAAAGATAAAATAATAAGAAAACACCTAAAATTTAAGGTTTGGATACAAATAAAAAAAAAAGAAGTGATTTAGCAGCAAATTTACAGCAGAAGAAAGGCCAGGCCAGGCCAGGCCAGACAGAGAGAAACTTCAGTACCTGGTATTATCATCGATGAAGGTTGACACAAGAGTCCAGAGGATTGGGAAGACACGAGGTGCCCGGATGATCAGAACACAACTCATCGTCTCAGGGTAGTTTGCCTCCACGATCTGGGTCACAAGAAAAAGTTCATCTAAGAAAATAAAATGAATGAGATAAAAACTCTACAGAATTATCTCAGTAAATATCTAAGTGGCTGAATGCCATCTTAACTACCGTAAGTATTTGGAAATTTCTATACTAAATTCACTTCAATATGCAGATTATAATACTTAGAGGTGTACAATCTTTTCTGTTACTTGGTGTATGATCTCAAAACAACAAGACTGTGGAGAGTCTTTTAGCATACACAAAGAGGATGTTTGGTCCGGCGGGTTATATGAGAGCTGGCAAATGAACATTAAATTCAGCTGACAGCAAACTAGCCCCCCCCCCCAATTCATTAACTCCAAAACAGATAATTGGATTAATGCTCTATTTTCCCATTTATGAAAAATAACTATGGTCAGATATACACACAGAGATGATGTATGATGGATTATATGTTAGCAATATGACCTCACTCTTCAGGCTGAAGATTCTCAAAATCTATGAACTATATACAGAATGTGAAGCAGGGAAAAAGTTTCTGAAAGTTTTATTGGGTTAAATTATGACACTCTTGAGTTATCATATCAGACATTCTTCTAGTTGTGCTCCACTCTACAATTTTTCCATTTTACATAATGAAATACTGTACAGTAATTGCAAACCATCATTATACAGCCTTACATGATTCCATGGTCATGTGTCTGAGGAATATTTATTTTCCAATGATATTTCAATAATTGCTCAAAATACAAGCATTTGACAAAGACTGAACTTTCAGTTCTTATGTGTTCTTTAGCCTGAAATTAGTGATTTCTAACATGAAACTAAACACTATTGACAATCTAAAGAATGCACTAAGAAATAAATGTGCTAAAATTGATGTGTTAATGACAAGTAATAAATATCCATCGTCCATTCAGGGATTGATGTGTGTGTGCTTGTCAGGGGTTCACAGTTTGAGGAATTATCTCACACGCACGCACACCCAAAAAAAATTATGTACAGGTACTGCAATTCCAGAATTTTGAATCACCCTGTACTTTGGAACTGTAATGTAATGTTATTTTCAAAGTAGGCATAACCCTGCAGACTGAATGGGCATAGCAGTATTTCCTGTACAAGTAAAAATTATGCTTTTTTTATTAATCAACCATTTATATTAATTTTAAACCCAACTTTAGTATACACAATAGATGAAGTATAGAAAGTCATACCTCAATGATCTTGAGCAGTGTCCTGATGCCAGGTCTCCAAAGATGGCGCATGTTGAGACCTTCCAAGTCTACCAAGAGTGTCCATGTGGTTACTGGACGTGCCTGACTAACTGTGGCTTCCTCTGTCAGACGAAGACCCTCTTCACATATATGCAGTGTCTAGAACAAGAAATTTTTAAGTAAAATGGTTAATGTATTATCTTTAGTAACATAAATTTTCAAGAATATAAAGAATGCGGAAGACTTGTTGGCTGAACAGTTCCTATGGAGATTCGGGTCAATTCCCCCCAAATTAGGATAATGATGTATATTGGAGGGACTTCACCTGATGTGCATCATCTATGCATTAAACACCTTTCACCCATGAAAATTTCAAGAAGAGTAAAGTAAGTCTGTAGAGTCCTATTTTTATGCTGAGGAAGGATACAGATGTGACCAATAAAAGTTGAATAGCAGGTTGAGTCCAAGTTACTAAAATATCTTTTTCCCAGAAGTACAGCTTGCCCTTAAAATTCGCGGAGGTTAGGTTCTCAAAATGGCCGCGAATAGCCAAATCAGCGAATAACATTTGCTGACCAGGGGAGGGGGTACATTTTTATTCGTGTGCAATGAAATGTATATTCACTTTTTGTATTTGCCCTTAGGACAATTATTTCTTTTACCTGTATTGTATATATATGTGTGTGTGTGTGTGTGTAGACACACACAGCCACACACAAAACACATACATATAAATATTAATGAGAAAATCCTCTCACAAATAATCAGAAACAAGAAAACAAGAGTGTATTAAAAATGTGAGAGTCTACCCTCAAGTCAACTCTGTGCTTTGTTAACTATAATAATAAAGCACAGATTTGACTTGAGGGTAGACTCTCACATTTTAATAATTTTTTTGTCTTGTTTCTGATTATTTGTGAGAGGATTTCCCATTATCATTTATTTGTTTGTGTTTTGTGTGTGTCTACACATGCACACATACAGTATATACAATACAGATAAAAGAAATTACTGTCTCTAGAATGAATGACTCCCTGTCCCTGCTGCAAAAATGCCAGCAAATTTAACACTACCCTTAGACATTCTTGGGTACATCAAGGGTGTCATCTGTGAATTAAAAATCTGCGAATTGTGAGAGCATGCTGTAGTTGTTGAGCTTGGTGAAGATACAAAGAGAAAACTAGAGTTTTATAAGCACATATTCTGTGAACACAATCTATCAGCTCATGAAAGTATTCCAGTAGGCAGTACGTAGTAAGAAATTACAGTACTTATTCTTTACAATTCTTTTCATTCCTTACAAACCTGAATCCAATACCCAGAGTAGAATTTTTCCCCCAAAATAATAAATGTACAGTACTGACTCACATGTTTTAGGAGTCCTTCTTCGCCAACAGATTTAACAAGGCCTTTAACATCCATTTGGCCTAAACGCAAGAGGTACAATGGTCGACTTTCTGAAAAAGAACAATATTCTCTCTCGGTCAATAACTCTTCATATACTGTATAGTGTTTAAGGATGATACTCATAAATTAAGCTATATTCATTACATTCATGATAATACAGGTACAGTTACAACTTTACCTGTCTATAAAAGGTGCAAAATAAGAGCTGTTCAACTATATACAGTATTTAATAAAGTCAGTAACATCTCAGTGACAGAATAACCTAAGAATATATTTTAATTTCCTAAAATAACAAATCCCATCAAGCAGTAAGACAACACCTGTACGGTAATCTCTAGTGTACACTGGTTAATTGCCAGTCCAGAGTCTAATATAAACATTAAGGTTGCCATAGAAACACAGGAAACAAAATGTATCATTATTCTTCAAACTATGTAGGAGAAAACTGATAATTATTATTATCTAGGGTCTTGTTGAGTTGCATCCTTATGTTAAGCTTCCTTGAAACACAGTTGTAAACTAATGTCTTACTGCCAGACAACTCACACTAAGCACTCACCAAGCCTTAAGGTAAACCCAAACATCAATGACTGGGAAATAATCAACCTCTCAAAAAACAAAGATTTTGAAAAAGAAAGTCACAAACATCACACAAGCGTGTATGCACCATGCCAAGCTACTGTTACAGGACAGCCATATTAAATTGCTTCAAAAACCTCCTATGGTGAATTTTGCCTCAAAATCTCCTTTTCAAGGGTGACGATTATAACAGAGAAGTTATATATTTGTCAGATTAGTTGCCAGCCACTAATGACTAAGTCTCCAAGGTTAGACCTGTAGGCTTAGTGCTGTACACAAATCAACTGGTTATGGCCAAGATGGAAGGAGAGATGTACAAAAAGTATGTTCACTTTTGTGTTATAAGAGACACTAACATGGTGACAGGATGGCAGCATGTATTAACAATGCACAATAAAAGCTGTAGATAGATTCTAAAATTACCTAAATTGGATTAAAATTCCTCAAATTAAAAATTAAATTACCATAAAGCCACAAAATATAAAATCACCATCTTATAATTTGCTTAAAATCTAAAAAAATTAAAAAGCTAAGTATTAAGAGGTAAATAACTGATACTGTACTGTGGTGGAGTGTCAGTACATTAACACAGAAAGAATGAGAGTATGTGTAACAAATGTTCACCTTTGTCCTGGTGGTGCCATCCTCCTGGGAAATAGTCATTCACTACCTGAGGTACCTGGTACTCATTCATCATCTTATCCACCTGGTTCTTTTTCCTCCAAATGAGAGAATGGCTCAACATCTCCCGTGCTTTTTCAATGTTGAAATCTCTAGCTCGCAAGAATCGTAACAAGCAGGTATCACTTGGAACCTGGAAGAGTGTTTGCATTTTTTTACTTGGAAAATAAAAATGCTGTACAACTTATCATAAATTTGGAAAATGAAAATGCAATATGGCTTATCATAAATTATGTTATAAATGTGATTCATGGCACTGAATGGTTTTTGGAAGATGTGTTGGTGGTGGGCAACCTTATGGTATGTTAAGTGACAGGTAAACCAGACAGATACTTGGCGCCTTGTTGTGGAAAGTAGACCATAGCAGAACACATCTACTACAGCTGCAGGAATGAACAAATGACAGTAAATGAATGGAGACTGTATATTCACTCTTCATTCTGACCATGATGCTTTATTATGGTAAAGAACTTTTGAAAGAGTTACCAGTATGCATGAGAAAAGAGGCTATACAATGAGATAGAAAAACAGCTGGGTCAATGGTTGACCTGACAGTGCAACATGAATATTTCACTTGACAAGATATTTGAATATACAGTATTGGAACTACTGTATAAGTTTGTTAAATTATTCATGTGTAGAGTTTTTAAGTACAGTAAGGGGGTGTTACTCCATAATTCACACCCACAAAATAATGTAAGCTCAGTATTTAATTTGTATATCCCAGTCTTTGCATTCTGTAATTGCATTTTCTTTCTCCATAATAAAAATAACTAAAGTCTTCAGTAGGTGAGATTAAACTGGTACATAAGGGTAATCATGTATTAAAAAATAAACTAAGATGTTGTATATGAATTGTATCTCTCACACTCACTTTCCCTTTTTGTAGTTCACCAACCCACTTCTTAAGTTGTATCAACCGTGACTCTTGTAGGGGAGTCAAGTCTCCTAGACATCTCTTAATGTAGTCTGCATCCAGCTTGTTATTGTCTGTTGACAAATAAATGCCTCAGTATATCCATATACAGTATTGCCACTAATGAAGGAAACAACATTATTATACAGTACTGTAATGTACAGAACTTATCTATAGTCTTCAAGAATAATTAATGCATATCATTGAAGATCATGTACACGTGCACTTCCAAGCACATACAGGTTGTACCTCTCTAGTCCGGCAACCTCGGGACCTGACCGGTGCCGGACAATGGAAATTGCCGGACCATGGAAATTCACCCTTTTCCTGGATAGATATTGACTTGTGCTTATGCCTGGAAGCACTAGCACCACTTTCTCTGCATCATGGTCTCTTTGAAGACATATTGAAGGGTTAAATGTCATATAGTAGCTTCTCAAATTTCGCGAGTTTTTAATTCTTAACGTATTTTATTGGAACACACAAAAAAATAAATAAATAAAAATTTTGACGGCGGAAACTTGAATTTCGACGGGTTTGAACGGCCCGCCAACGTGCAGACGACGTGCATAATCGTGTAAACAGCGTCATTTCTCTTATGTACAAAAGATTCATTATTGTTTATTACTGAATGTCTTTTTTATTGAATTAATGTTTATGTGTGCAAAATGAGCAATACAATTCATTAATAATACGTAGAATATTAAAACACACGAGGAAATGACACAGCATTGTATTCGTTGATTACAAAACCAGTGACTGACTGGTTCTACATATAAAACTGAAGAAAATAAGACCTTGGTTGTAGCTGTAGTAAAATTAATATGGTTGTTTTAAGTAATGTTATTTAATGTTAATAAATGGAACAATAGAAGTAGCTAACGATAATGGTAAAGAAAAAAGAGAGATCGCATATGTAAGTGCGCATGCGCACACGTGAAAACATATCATCATTACTTTACATAAGAATATGAAAGCAACACTTATTTACTGTTCATATATATTTTAATTAATGTTTCTGAATTTGTTTTTATTGAATTAATGTACGTGTGTGCAAAATTAACAATACAATTTATTAATAATACGTGGAATATTAGAGGAGACGAGACGGCTGCCGGCATTGTTTATGTTAAAGGTTACGAAACCAGTGACTGATTGGTTCTACATATAAAACTGAAGAAAATAAGACCCTGAGTTTAGCTGTAGTAAAATTAATGTAAAAAAATGAATATGGTTGCTTGAAGTACCTGTAATGTTATTTAATGTTAATAAATGGAACAATATAAGTAGCTAATCATTAATGGTAAAAAAAAAAGTGAGACTGCTCGTATGTAAGGGCACACATGTGAAAATATATCGTCATTACTCTACATAAGAATATGAAAGCAACACTTATTTACTGCTCATATATATTGAAGGGTTAAATGTTGTACTCTGTATAGACAAGCAGAGAGAGAGAGAGAGAGAGAGCAGCCGAACTGCCGGATGTAAACAAACCTTAATTTCCCGCGGCTTTTTTTTTTTTAAGGGGATTAGCCCACCCGGGAATAGGTCACTGACCCACATTGGGGCCTGAGGGGCAAAAATTTAATACTCCTGTAATAATAATAATAATTCAGATAAGTAAAAAAATAAATAAATAAAAATAAAGAAAGCTGCCTATCTACCTATTGGACAAACTAAAATCGTTCCGGACCACGGGAGTTTCCAGACCATAGAATGCCGGACTAGAGGGGTACAACCTGTACTAAGTTAGTTAGACTTAAAATTAATTATAATCTTAGACTTAAAACATAAAGAAGCACAATTTCCATTTGCAAACACAAATGTTAGATTAAAGAAAGACAAAATAATGCTGGTTTGACTTTTGTGTGGTCAAAATTAGGAACTAACATCCAAAGGTATAATACAGTAACATGATTCTGATAACAAGAATTAACTACAGTATATAAATCAACCAGGTCAATGGCACTTATTTTAACTTCCAAGAAACTTTGACCTTAAAACATACACTGTTATTTCATGAAAAGTTTTGAATTAGAATTTGGGTACAGCATTAGGCAAGAGCATTTAAAACATGGAATTATGGTACGTATGTACTGTACTGTATTTGAACAACTGCTAGCAGCTAAAAACAGAAATTATAAATTACTCATTAAATATAAGGTTCAATACTAAAATCTAATTAATTTCAAACTGAGAAAGTTTACCATCTTATACATAACTACTGATCATCATTTTGGAAGGAAATGAAACTGAAAACTTGATTCCATCCTTGTGGGCTGTCTAAAAGAAACCATTTGCATGCTGTAGTTTTATATGAACCTAGAAAAATTTTACATTTATCTTGAAATTCCATTTCCTTATATGAACCAGACTGAGAGACCTATGTTATTTAGGCATCTTATTTTCAGGGGCCACAATTCAGATCAATTTTATACAGGGGTGGATCCAAGGGGGGGGGGGGTCCTGGGTAGTGATGCAAATGTTTTTTTTCTGGTGGAACAAAACCTTTTTGGGGGAGGGGGGGGGGCACCAAGATAAAAAAAAATTAATTTAACCCATAATGTGTAGGAACAAATGCAATTTATGTGTTTTAAAAGGTACTGCACAATGTTAATATGCTTTAAAAAGACTATCAGTATCTTAAAATTTGTTTTAGAAATGTTTTGTGGTTACCTTATCAGTGATGGTGACTCTGAATCTTGCTAAAAATAATGAATATATAATCCACATATTGTTCAGTTATTTGAGGAATAATGTTGAAATAATTTTATTTATTTTGTAACTTATGTATCAAAATTCTGCTGTGCTGTATAAAGTACAGTAATGAAGTATTATCTGTTGCATCTTAAAAAAGTAAAATACATTTTTACAGAAGTACCCTGTAACAAACTGAAAATGCAATTGAATTTATTAATTGAAATATGCATAATAATGCATAGTACAGTAATAAGTTATACCACAAAAAATGAGTCACACTCACAGTCTAGCAATACCTGGCAACTTGAATAGAATTGACAAGTTCTCTCTCTTTAAATTGTGTAATTACTTATATAATTGGATTTCAATATTCTTTACCTTAAATTGTTTTTCTTTAATAATAATGATAGATTATTTTACACAAAAAGGATTTGGAACTATCAAAATACTTTACTGAAGTAAATATATCAGAAAATATTGCTAATGATTGTACAACAACTTTGCAGAGTACAGTACTTTCCAGTAGAACTTTTGACAATAATTACTGTATATGAATGAAAATAAATGTGTACAGTAAAACGTCGATATAACACGAGATAAGTTCCAAGAGAGGTCGCTTTAAACCATATTCAATTCGCACTAAATTGAAGTGTTGTTTCAATGGAATAATTTAGTTTGGTACTTGAGAGAAACACAAAATACTAAAAAGACTGAGTCTACCCAGATACACCTCAGCCCATCTAGAATAAACAAAACTTTGTTTTTTGTAGTATTATGTTAAAACAAACACTCATAAATTATCACAGCTAAAATTATGGGATGCATATGGTCTGTTTACTGGCTGGGAAGATGGGGGGGGGGGGGTGATATGTTTGACAGTGTGCTGATTTATTTATCTGTCCTTAAGAGTGACTTTTAAGTTTTTCTCTTATAAAATGTCACTGAACTGACATGGGAGAATATAATTAACATTGCTGGAATTCTTATAAGATAATGATTAATTTGAATATAAACATGCTATAGTTTGCACTAGACAAAAATTTTAGTAATCATTTAGTACATTATTTCGAGTACATGTACAGTACAGCTTTGCCCTTAGGACAGTGTAGCGTGCCCAGCCCAGAGAAACATTAGGCGCAACATTTTAAATATGATGCGCCAGATTGACTGGCACAAAATAGGAAAGATTTGCTTTAAATTAAAATATGTCCTTAATTGTGGGTGTTGCTTTAAATCAATAATCTTAAATTGAATCGCTTTAAATCGACGTTCTACTGTAAATTATCTAAAACACTATAATGATACCTTGTATTGGAAGCAACTCCAAATTATAGTTATAACAGGCTACAAAAATACAGGAAAAAAAATCGTCCTTAATTTGTTTTTGTTTTTTACATCTCTTGTCTTGCGGGACTGGATTCCCCCTTTTCATCAGAAAATTCCTATATTTTTTCTTTAATACAGTATTGCACTCAGGCATTTTGCATTGTAAAAAGTGATTACTATCGACCTCATAATATCTCCTAATATCAAGTGCACATGGCTTCAAAATGCCCATGATATTAGTCAGATTTCAAAACCCCCAAACCCCCCCATTTGGGTGGGCTCGCTATGCTCGCCATGTTCCCTCACCCACAACTTCTTGGATCCCCCCCTCTTTGATATTTCTAGATCTGCCCCTGCTATGCAACAGCTGCTGGGGACCAACTGAAAGATGAACTAAACCTAACCTACCATCTACAACAAAATCCTTGAAATGGGGTCTTACATGTAGAAGGCTGTCAAGTCATTGCCATGCCAGTATTACACATCTTCCCAGTCATCTGCTTGATTACATCATCGGACTCATCGGACTAACAGCAAGAATTTATCTTTTGCAACATACCAAGGGTAGGAGGAGGAGGAGGAAGCTGGATTTCCCAGCCTGGTTTTATATTATAAACGGATTTCAGAAACATTCCTCAATTTCTTTCCTGTTTATTTCCTGATTAATTCTGTTTGCATCAACATTAAAGGTTTATTTAAAGGATATAATGCAAAAATGACAGAGGTGTTGAAAGTAAGAATTGCAAATGTGCTATATGTGATGGGAAGAAGTTGGAGCAATATAGATATGGTTAACTTTTGAAGAAAAAGGTTGAAGGGCTGGAACAGAGTTACAGCATTGTTGGAGATGTGTTAAATGACTGTCAGAATCTTTCTTTTAAATTGGAGATACTGTTAGAGTAATGTATCATTGTATTGGGTTACTGTTAGATACTTAAAGTACAGTACTGTAAAAGTGATGGCAAATCTGCAGGTGTTGATGTATTACAGTATTACAAATACTGTATGTGGGAATATCTTTTTCCATCTAAGGTTAGACTAAAGTACATCCTTATACTTCTATTTTGTAATATTAACAACAGGACAGTTGCTTTTCAGGATTGATCAATATAATTTTTTTTAATAATCTTGGAACTACGGTAGGTCAAGAGGGGTGGCTAACTTTTTGTCAGTGTTGAGGTGGTACGTTAGCCATGCAGAACTGGAGCTGTGGATGAAGGATGACCTCGCAGTCATCAAATACACATCAAAATGATGTTCTGTCAAAGTTGTGGATGATGGTACAACCCAAACAAGCAAATACTATCACTGTCTCTTGTGTATTTTGGCTCACTCATTTCTTTGTCATTTCCATCATCTTCCAATGTACTTCACTTTTACATCAACAGTTAGTCCTAATTAAACAAACAGGATTACAAAACATAAGTTTAGTTCAGGCAAAGAAGTTCATCATCCAGAAAAATACCTTCTTTACAAAAATAAATTTTCCATGCAATTTCCTTTTTAAGTCTTAAAACTGTTATGCAAGTAAAAAAAAATCAGCCATGAATTTCAAGATTTCAGTAAATAAAATAGTTACAGTATTCATTTTGCAAAATAGTTATCAAATACACTTGCTATACTCACAACAAAATTCTAAACACAGAGTACATAATCAGCTAGATATTACAGTACAGTATCTAGAAAAAATTATCCAACTGACAAAATACATAAAAATGAAAAAGGGTTACTGAAGACTTAGTCCCTGTTGATACTAAAGTGTAGGACAAATTTTAACCAATTTATTACCTGTGTGTACTGTACAGGGTACTCAAAAGAGATAACTAGTGCCAAACTACCAAGAGGTTTAGGTAATACTTGCTAAATGGATGATAATATTTGACAAAATCATGTATACAGTACAGTACATGCACTGTATGACATTTGGTATGGTATACAGTACAGTACTGTAATTGGGTATGGTGCAAGTATTTTGAAATATACTGAAAAAGTTCTATTTTCATGCAAGCTGTAGAGTACTGCCTTAAACCCATTACAAATCTAGCATTGCCAATAAAAATTTCAACAGAATACAGTAAAAGCAATGACTTCAATGATACAAAATATTGTGAGATTATACCCTGGTCTGTTGGGCCATTATCCACCACTTCTTCTGGAGTAATATTAACCAAACACCATTTAATGTATTCTCTGTCTGTCATGAAAGCATCATCTGGAATTCGGCCAAAGTCAACTTAGCAATTCAGAGCCTGTAGCACACACACTACTTCATTAACATATAGACACAAGTGCTATTGAAGGTGCACTCGGGTAAAAAAAGTATCTCTCAGGAGGGGTCCGATGAATTTGGAACTGAATAATCCCGTTGTCTCGCTAGGGTTGGTAGGCTTGATTGCGAGACATTTCCTACCTTAATTTAGTTATATCATTCAAAATATAAAATTAGTTTGTAGCATTATGATTGGTGAATAACAGTATGCTTCATGGGCCTTTATCAAAAATCTTCATTTGTGGTGTCATTTTGTTTTGCACAAGAATCGTAAAGATACTTTTTTTTACCGAGTGTACATATGCTCTCATGCTAATATAATACATATGCTCCCATGCTAATATAATACATATGCTCTCATGCTAATATAATACATATGCTCTCATGCTAATATAAAAAACTTATCACTGCCAGTTTAATTAAATTCGAGGCTCTTAACCCATTCCTCTTGAAGGCTGGTACAGTACTACCTAACTCAGTTGGAAAACATCATTCTGTACCTGTAATTACTGTAGAGTAATAAGAAAATGAAGAAAGTTAAAGCATAACAAACTCCACAGCTACATTCTCTTGTGCATTACTGATCCCCTATTTATTTTCTTCTCAGTAAAATGGGGATACAGTAACTACCTTGGTGAGAGAAGTAAATTAAAATGTGTTCACTAAAAGAATAACCTGTAGCAGAAAAAAATACCAAAAAAGTTTACTCATGAAAGTTTACTCATTATGCCATGCCAAACATATACTGTATTAATATTAAAAATATATTAATCCTTTCCAACTGAGTATGCTGACAGCCTTTTAAGTAGTCGCTGATAGTTTGCATTCATTGGTAGTTTAATGACGTTTGCAAATATCAAGGTAAGCTAAATACTAAACAACAGCCACTTTAGAAGACAACACCACATGCTCTCAATACAACACATTTAATATTAACTTCAAAAGAAATGTGATATCTAAAAATAGTTAATATTATATTGAATATAATATTTTTAATGACTTACTTAAACTTCGATAATATATACTATCACAAACAGAAAAATACAATTACAATCTCTAATACCCTGTACACTCAAGATCTACTACACATAACCCATAGATCAATAGGTAAGTTAGAACTTAGAAGTACCATAACATGAGAACCTCACTTTCAAAAGAGGCACACAGCTTCCTTTCTTCTTTGCTTCTAACAATTTTCCTGTCATAACCTCCAACTGCTTGTACCTGTACAAGAAAATCTTCAAACTTCCTTCTTTTGTGTACGTATATGATTATGAAATAAATCCATCCTAGTCCATTATTCCCTTATTACAAAGTATTGAAAATTTGGTCCACATACTTTCATAAGCTCAATGTCATTCCATCATGCCTATATGTCTAGTTTTTTTCTTTTTAGAGACATGCGAGACAAAATATAAACTGTTTCAAAATATTACCTTCATTAAGGTTGACCTTATCCATGCTCGGGAGGTGTGTGGCAGATGCGCCGAGATGAAGCTCAGTGGAGCCAGTAGATGGAGTGCTGCTGGTGCGGTCGCGCCTCTCTGTCTCTTCTGAGCTGCTCTCTGCTTCACTTTCCAGTTTCTTGCTTTCATTAATAACACAAACTTCTGGCAAAGCCTTTTGAGTTGGTTCTTCCCATCGTGGTACATATGTGACGCCATCTTTACGGAGCTCCTCAATGAAGTATTCAATAATTTCCTTGCCCTGTTGAATATATATAGCAGTACTTTAACTATAGGCTCAAAACCTCTTTAATTCAATACTGTATAGCAATTTTGATACCTGAGCAATGTTGGATGGGCTTCACTCTTGACTTTCTTTCATAATACTCTTAAAGAACATTAGGCATCTGTACTATGTATCTATATCATTATTTTTATTCATGTTAATACTTTCACTACAGTTGATTTATGACCCAGCAACCCATTTCCTGTGTGCTGAATATATATATATATATATATATATATATATATATATATATATATATATATATATATATATATATATATATATATATATATATATATATATATATATATATATATATATATATATATATATATATATATATATATATATATATATATATATATATATATATATATATATATATATATATATATATATATATATATATATATATATATATATATATATATATATATATATATATATATATATATATATATATATATATATATATATATATATATACAGTATTACCCCGCTTAACGCGCTTTCACTTACGCGTTTTCGCTATACGCGTGCCTTGCCAAAGCTGAACTTTCACTTAACGCGGCATTTTTCATCATATACGCGGTGAGTGTCCGGCTCGAGAGCTATTTTTAGATTCGCACCACCCCCCACCCGCCACCCTGCCTGACTGCCTGTTTTAGCTCATAAAATTCATACAAATTACCCAGCCAGAATATAATTTACATTGCTGGAATTCTTATAATTTGGTGATCATTTTGAATATAAACAACATATATTTTGCATTAAACATACAATTTTTAGATAAAAATTGTTCTCTAGGTAATTATGTTATCTTTTGTCCAAAATATATGACATTTATATTCAAAATATTCCTGGTCTTACAAGGAATCCAGCAATGTCAATTATATTATCCTAACTTTAGTTTGAGGTATTATTTATTAAAATTTAGTGGTTATCCCACACATCTCCTTGGGACGGTTGGTGGGGGGTGGGGGGTGGGGGGGAGGGAGGGACCGACCGACCGACCATCTGTTACCCGGTGAAGAATTATTTTTTTTTTTAACTGAAGATATTTGTTTTAGCTCATAAAATTCATACAAATTACCCGGTCAGAATATAATTTACATTGCTGGAATTCTTATAATTTGGTGATCATTTTGAATATAAACAACATATATTTTGCATTAAACATACAATTTTTAGATAAAAATTGTTCTCTAGGTAATTATGTTATCTTTTGTCCAAAATATATGACATTTATATTCAAAATATTCCTGGTCTTACAAGGAATCCAGCAATGTCAATTATATTATCCTAACTTTAGTTTGAGGAATTATTTATTACTATACCTGGTTTTCCCCCAAAAATTTCTCAGAGGGAAGAGCCAGTGAGTGTAGTGTGAGAAGAGGGGGAGGGAGTTGAGTCCATTATTTGAATGGACATTAACTTGGCGACTGTATTTCTCTATTTCTCTTAAGTATTAATTGTGTGCATGTACCATCATAAAATTAAGATGTTATTTTTACTACAACATAGTTATTTGTCGTCAAAAAGTGGAGTTTGGGGGTCGGGCTGGGTTCTATTGGAATTAATCCCATATGTTCTGTTATTCACTTAACGCGGTTTTCACTTAACGCGGGACCCTCTGGGTTCAATTGACCGCGTTAAGTGGGGTACAACTGTATATGTATATATATATATATATATATATATATATATATATATATATATATATATATATATATATATATATATATATATATATATATATATATATATATATATATATATATATATATATATATATATACAGTGGTGTATGCTATAACGAACGGATCCTACTACGAATATTCCTATAACGAATGGTTTTACCTATAAAATTGAGAATGCTATAACGAACGCAACTCCTACAACGAACGCGGATGAATACCGGACTATTTCGCCTGGCGCATGAATATTGTTGTACCGCGACCCACAACAAGAGCGTCAGGCGCCATCTTTGTCTCATTGTGTAGCCAGTGCACCACTGTTATTGTTGAAATTTCGTCTTTTGATGTGGAAATTCGCGTTATTTGTATAACTATTTTGTTATACAAGTATACAATTGTAACAATGAGTCGTCCAAAGCGAGTGAGAAAGCTAATAACCCTTGAAACTAAGAAAGAAATTATAAAGAAACGTGAGAATGGAAGAAGCATTGCGAAACTTAGTGATGAATATGGGATGGCTAAATCGACTATATGTACGATTTTGAAGAATAAAGAGGAGTTAAAACTGTGCAAGTGGCTAAGGGAATCTTTAGACTTAGCAAAGCAAGGTGTAATGTGATTGAAGAGATGGAAAATTTACTCTTAGTGTGGATAAAGGAGAAAGAAATGGCAGGTGGTAACATTAGTGAAGCTATAATTTGTGAGAAGGCTAAACAATTGTTTGAGGACCTTAAAGCCAAGACTCCCAGTGGAAGTGATAGTGATGTGCCAGTGTTTAGGGGTACCTGCATGCTGAATAACACTAAGGTAAGATAAAGTACCGTATTTTTTACATTTTCCACAGAATTTTTTCAGTGTTAAGCGGTTGTATTTGGGGGCCTGGAACGGATTAATCCCATAACGAACGAATGCTATAACGAACGAGGTTCTGGAACCAATTACGTTCGTTATAGCATACCCCACTGTGTGTATATATATATATATATATATATATATATATATATATATATATATATATATATATATATATATATATATATATATATATATATATATATATATATATATATATATATATATATATATACACAGGGTGTCCCATAAGTTTCCATACAACGTATCACCAACGCCATTACAAGCATAACTCCAGCTGTGCTTGAACGTGTTCTTCAGCAGTGGAGGACACGCATTGAAGAGTGTTTTCAACAGAATGGTAGTCATGTAGAGCATATTATATAAATAAAAATGGATTTTCATATAAAATTTATTTTTCCTATGTATGGAAATTTATGGGACACCCTGTGTATGTATGTATGTATATATATATATATATATATATATATATATATATATATATATATATATATATATATATATATATATATATATATATATATATATATATATATATATATATATATATTTCTCATCTTTTGATTGCATACTTGCAAATACTGTAATACAGTACAGTGGTCCCTCGATTAACGAACGGTTCAATTCATGAAATTTCGGTTAACGAATTAGCTCCCATAAGGATTTTCAGTTCCATTAACGAACAAAACTTAGATTAACGATAGACTTACGAGAAACGCGCCTTGGTGTATGCAACAGCTGATCGGCTAGTCCGCGAATACAGTAATTGGTTCTATGTTTACATTTGTTTCCAGTGGAGTAAATATCAAGAAAGTTGGTCATTTGAATATTTTTACATTTTTTTATATTAAAATTATTGGTCATTCTGAAATTTAGTTAACATATTGATAATAATTATATACAGTACAGTGATCCCTCGGTTAACGAACACAATTCGTTCCAGAAGGTCGTTTGTTAACCGAAACCATTGTTTCAATGGGATATTGGGTAATTGGTTCCAGCTCACAGAAAAGTATATACAAAGTAAAGCCAAAATATAATTTACATTGCTGGAATTCTTATAAGATAGTGATAAATTTGAATATAAACAAGCTAAAATTTGCATTAGACATACAAATTTTATATCTAATTTAAGAATTTTATAAGGGAGAGCAAAATTTGTTTCTTTTGTGCAAAATATATGAAGTTTATATTCAAAATATTCCCTGTCTTGAAAGGATTTCAGCAATGCAAATTATATTATCCTAACTTTAGTCTGAGGTATTAATTTATTTTTAAACCTGTAAACCTAGTCTTTTTACCCAAACGTTTCTCAGGAAGGTGGGGGGCAGGGAGGGAGGGAGGGAGGGGTGACAGTGACATGTTTGACAGTTGGTGCCTGTGGTGTGAAGTATTTAATTGTTAGTTTATTTTTTTTTTAGATGGAGTTTTTTTTTTTGCTTATAAAATTTAATAGAAGTGACTGGGATAATTTTAATTTGCATTGCTGGAATTCTTATAATATAGTGATTAGTTTGAATGTAAACATGCAAGAGATCACTGAATTGGCTGAGTACCTCCTCAGCTTATCAGCTGATGTTCAAAATAAAATGTGATTTTCGTAAGGATTTCGTTAATCGAATTTTTTTTCGTTACCGAATTGAAGATTCTTATGGAAGGTAATTCGTTAACCAAAATTTCGTTAACCGAGGGACCACTGTACAGGGAACAGTTTTTGTGTGTCCATCAGCTGATAGAATCACCCACCAACGCTTCTCAGTTTAACTTTGTTTACAGTGGAGTGAACATCGAGTTTGTTGGTCTCTTGAATATTTTTTGCATTTTTACATTAAAATTATTGGTCATTCTGAAATTTAGTTAACATATTGATAATATACAGTGCAGAAATTATTATGAAACATGAAAAGAAGGCATTAGAGCCAATGCACTCTGTAAAGAATATGGCATGCCATCATCGAGTGCCTCTACAATCAGCTGTTTGATATGTAAACAAAGCTGCCGGGAATACGACATACACACCTCAAAGTACGTTAAAAAATAGTATTCTATTGTTTTTTATTTATTATTGTACAGTATATTGTACAGTACAGTACTGTATGTAGTTTATATTTAATGTTTTGTTAATTCTATTACCGGTATACAGTACTTTGTATGTATACTTTTTCTGTGAGTAGGAACCAATTACCCAATATCCCATTGAAGTAATAGGTTCAGTTAACGAAATTTTTGGTTAACAACCGACTCTGTGGAACCAATTGTGTTCGTTAATTGAGGGACCACTGTACTGTAAAGTATGTATAAATTATCCGAGAACTATCACCCCCTTTACTATTGCTACATAGCAAATGTCACACACATGAGTACTGCATACTGTTTTTTTATCATATTCGCCACTTATCAGCTTACTAGCTGTTTGTGCGCTCTATCCAGTGTTAGTACAGGAGGAAACCGGGGACTGGGAAACCTGTGGTGTTTGGTAGTGAGGGTCACACTGGATAACACCCTTCTCACGTGTGTCCGGGCCGAGGCTCGAACCCTTGATATATTGGCGAGAGTTATGCGCGTTACCGCTGTACCACCAACACTGTTATTTATTCCAATTGAATGCATCTGAGTCAATAGTGTCAATATATAATCTGGATTATCCTCCACATATTCACTGGCAGCATGTTCTTATCATACAGGTCGCTCTGCCATCTTGAGGGGGTACTGCCACAAAGTAAAGGAATACAACTGACCACAATATGACACAAATGATAGCTTGCCAAAGCTGAATGCTTACCGTAAATAACTTGACGAAACAACTTAAGCAAGAATATTGAAAGCAAAACCATGAAAAAAATAAATAGAGACCCTATATTTACCAGCTGCATTGAAAGTTTCAACCATATTCAACCGTATTTACTCTTATACAGTACTAATGACTCTATGGTCTATATACAGTATCATGAAACATGTGTGTCCATATCACACAAGCAGACCCTCGTCCATTAGCTCAATACTGTATATCTATTTCACTTCCATTACTCCTCCTGTATTTCTTCCTCTATGTTGTATTAGAGTGAAACATGAGCAGTTAAAAAAAATATATATATGTAGGCTTGAGCAAGTTGAAATAGCAATGGTGAGATGGATGTGTAATGTTACACACTGAGAGATAGGAATCCCTGTTCAGACCTAAGAGGGTGGCTGGGTATTGAGAGCATTAGAAAGGTTTTGTGCTGAAGTTGGCTGAGATGGTTCAGGCATGTGGAGAGAATGGAGGAGACCAATTTGATCAAGTGATGTAGGAGTTTGAGGAGGAGAGCTAGGGGTAGGCCAAGAATGACATGGAAAAAGGTTGGAAGAAACTTCATGAGGGAGCCATTCATACAGCATGGAGAGCTGCCATTGGGTGATCATGGAAGTGGCCATGAATGATGATAATGATCCTATTTACTCAAAATATTACTAAAAAAAATTAACTTTTAATATGTTCCTTCCTTTTGCATCCAGAGTCCACATTTTACACTCATAATATTATGTTGACTCAATAATTCCCCTGTACATCCCCATCTTGCCCCCTTTTGACAAAGTTATTTCTCTCCAAGCATTTCTCAGTCCAATAATAAATTTCTTTCCTCCCCTTCTCTGTGGTTTAATTCATCACTAGACATCTCATTTACTGAGACATCTACCCCAAGATATCTGACACACTCCAATTCCTTCACTCTATCTCCATTTACACTACTAATTCTTCAAGTTTCCCTTCTCACCATATTTTCATCACTTTACTATACATACACTCTTGCAAAGTCATTCATTAAAATTTGTATTTTCTCTTCTGAATCACCCAATAAATCAGAGCTTTGATCCATAATACCGTATCCTCTTCCTTTCCTGACCTCACATAGTGTGTCCCTTTGTACACAATATTTTTGCCTATTCTCAAGAACTATATTGTACAGTACTGTACTTTATGATACTGTAAAGCGTGCATGCATGCGCGCGCGCACACACACGCGCGCACACACACACACACACACACACACAAGTAGTTTCTATCCTGGGTTTACAAAGACATACTGTACTGCTCACCTTTGATATGTTCTGTGAGTACTGCTTCATGGCGATCTTCTCAACTGTACTCTCAAATCCAAAAAATGACTTAATATCTAGAGTGGCTGTCTGCTCAAAGCAGGTCCAGTCGGTATTCTCTGGATGAACCTGGGAGAGTGGAAAGAACAGGAATAATTCAGTGTTGTATATATATATATATATATATATATATATATATATATATATATATATATATACACCTAGACCCCGACTTACGACTACGTGGACTTACGACCGTCGGGACTTACGACCGCCTCAGATATAGATAAAAAAATAAAAAATTTTTTTTAAATGACACACGCATTTTCTATACCGAAACGTTTCCAGTTAATGTAGTCTCCATGTATAATTAGAAAATTATGGGGGCCCCATGTGCATTCAGCTGACTACATTAAAGGTTAAGTGCTCAGTCACACTGTATCCATTCCTTATTATTTATTACTTTCACTGTACTGTATCCATTCATCATTATTCATCACTTTTACTGTACTGTATTTCATTGTGGATTTTTTATTAAAATAAATATATATATATATATATATATATATATATATATATATATATATATATATATATATATATATATATATATATATATATATATATATATATATATATATATATATATATATATACCTGTATATACCCTGTAGTCACTTCACGTAAGTTTCATAAAAATCTACTTCTGCTTTTTCAAGTTAAAGCTTACATAAGTATTCATGCCTGTCTCAAATTAAACTTCTTGGAGAGTAACATTCTAAAATCCTTCTCTCTCTGTATACATGTACTTTTTCTTTCTGTATACTGTACTCTCTTTATCTCTCAGCATTCTCTCTCTTTCTCTATATACTCTCTTCCTCTTTCCGGACCATAATTCTAAAGCACAATTCTGTTATATTGTACAGTATAGTATTCTACTGAGCTTAAGGTGAGTGAGAGCAGACATACATACCGTGTAGCGGCATTTCTCATTGATGACAACCCGGGAAGAAAAGCTCTCATTGTAGGCTTCAATGGTAAGAGTTCTATTTCTGTTGTCAAGAGTATTAGTCTGCACAAAGTAGATATATTCCACGCCCATGATCTGGAAATAAGACATAAATGAATGACTTACAGGATAACATAAAATTCTTTGCTATTACGTAATGAAAGTTCCATTTTTATTTTAGTTCACATCCATAAATTAAAATATACCAGTATGTCTGTAACATAAACTTAATACTACAGTACCCGTAGCTCATTGGGAATAAATTTCAAACAGTGGGGAGACAGCTTTGTTGACCGAATAATACTGCTCCTTGGCAAATTACCTAACAAAGTACAGCTCCTCCCCGACTTACAACCTACTCGACTTACGACCGCCTCAGTCGTCCCAAAATTTTGTCAAATTACGTATTTTCGAGTCCCAACGTCAGTGATTGTGCTGTGTACTGACAAAATTTTCGTTTGTAATTCACTTTAAAATGGCTGGCAAGGTTAAAAGTGAGAGTTTTGTGGTGCTGAGAAGAAAAAGAGACACCCATTTTAGATTTTCCATGTATAATTTAAGGATTTTCGACTTACGACCATTTCGACTTACGACCTGGATTTGGGTCCCTAACCCAGTCGTATGTCGGGGAGGAGCAGTACTGTATAGTACTGAACACACATCATGTGATTTCATAAAAAATGCTATTGATGAAAAACTGCTCCATTTTTACTGAGCATGTAGTATATGAGTATAACCTGTACTGTACAGCATTCCAAATAATAAGCTCCACAGGTCACCAGATCCCAATCTCAGAAACATGTACTGTACTGCACATATTGTCCACACCAGCACACCTTCCACCCCTGATTGAGAAAGTCCACTAAAAGACAGATATTTAAGTGGCAGTACAGTGCAGTACAGTACATGGTACTACAAAAGTAAACTGTGTGATCTTCCTTTGTCTTCTGGAATACAAATAATTGATAGAATTTTTTTTTCCCAAGTTTGCGAGTTGTGAAAAGGAGCTGTTCAAATAAACATAAGAACATAAGAAAATAAGGAGTCTGCAATAGGCCGGTTGGCCTGTGCATGGCAGCTCCTGTCGAGAGTTACTACCACTCTCTATCATCCATGAATCTATCTAGCCTCCTTTTGAAACTTTCCAGAGTTTCAGCACTTACTACAAAGTTGCTAAGCTTGTTCCACTCGTCCACCACCTTATTTGTGAACCAGTTTCTTCCTATCTCCCTCCTAAACCTAAACTTATCCAACTTGAAACCGTTGCTCCGAGTCCAATCCTGCTCGGATATTATAAGAACTTTATTTATATCCAATTTACTGATTACTTTCACCCACTTAAATACTTCTATCATATCACCCCGCACTCTTCGTCTTTCTAGGGAATGCAAGTTAAGTTTCTTTAACCTATCCTGATATGGAAGGTTTCTAAGTCCCGGAATCATTTTTGTCATTCTTCGCTGCACCGACTCAAGTGAATTTATATCCATTCTATAATAGGGGCACCAGAAATGAACAGCATAATCGAGGTGCGGCCTGACTAGCGCAAGATATAGTTGCAATAAGACCTCTGCACTCTTGTTACTTACACTTCTAGATATAAAGCCCAATACTCTGTTTGCCTTATTTCGAACATTAACGCACTGTTTTCTAGGCCGTAGGTCCGGGCTTATAAGTACCCCTAGGTCTCTTTCACAAGTCGACTTCTCTAGGTTGATGTTGTTAAGGCTGTATACATTATAAGTATTTGTTCTTCCAATATTAAGTACGCTGCACTTGCTGGTGTTGAATTTCATTTGCCATTTTTCAGACCACCCCTGCAGTTTATTTAGATCCTCCTGTAATGCATTTGCATCCTGCCCTGAATTAATTTGCTGCCCTATTTTGGTGTCATCCGCAAACTTGCTTATGTCACTGCTGATCCCAGTATCTAGATCGTTTATGTAGATTATGAACAAGAGTGGGTCTAGTACTGACCCCTGGGAAACCCCACTGGTTACACGGCGAGCCATGATTTTATCCAATTTAAAACTTTCCCCTCGATACCATGAGCCTTAATTTTTCTCAGAAGCCTCTGATGCGGTACTCTGTCAAATGCTTTGCTAAAGTCTAAGTAAATAACATCATAATTTTCGTCATTATCTACTACCTCGAAGACTCCTAAAAAACATTAGCAGATTTGTTAGACAAGATTTTCCCTTTGCAAACCCATGTTGAGAGTCGTAGATTAATTTGCTTTTCTCTAGATGCGATCGGATGCTATCTGCTAGAATTGATTCAAGAAATTTCCCCACTACTGATGTAACGACCACGGTCGTACACGTCAGTTAACGCCAAAATCAAATGATTCATATTACGCTCCATAGCCCACAAAACATGTACCTCTGCTTTTATTTTGAGTCCTCCATCTGAGGAGTCCGTTTTTTCATCACTTCAAGACGCCTCAGTCCTCCGTTATCCCATTTTCTCTGACTTACTGAAACCAACCTCTCTATATAATGAATTTGAATGTGAGAGAGAACACCTTTGTTTTGAGTCAACTTAGATATGTCTGTTTACAGTTGGAACATTCAAGATCCATTGTGAGTGTTGTTGAACGCTTCAACTGTCCTTATTGTTAGTAAGACGTGTCAAGTAAGCGAGTGTTGAGTTTACCAGTTAGAGTGGCGTATTTTAGGTCGTCCGTGGGGATATCCATGGGTTTCTGATCGCTACTGAAGTTATATTGTTTTGTTGCCCCGACATCAGAGAATCTGATGTTCATAGTTTAGTTAGTGTCAGTTGTCTATTTAAGAAAGTCATTCATCTTCTGAACAGTTCCTGTCAAACTCAAAATTCTCCCAGATTTAACGGCCGTTTGACCGGGGATGTGGTTTGCGGTCAGGTCAATAGAGTTGCGAACGCATATATAACTTCAATTCACCTCTTTACTGACAAACTCAATCTCTGATTAAATCATAAATATAGATGTAGAAAATTAGCCTGATCTGTGACACTGACGGTCACAGCTAGGTGTCCAACGACTACTGTGAATAGAGGGCCTATTGTTAGTGAAATTTATCTTTCTAGTAGGAATATGCCCTCAGGCCCGTATATATGCAGGCGCGCGAGGAGAAATCACTCCTTCTGTGATTTCTCCTCCACGTCTATAGGTATGTTCACGTGTGTTCCACGCCACTGTATTAACTCAGTTTAACTTAGTCATTTTTGCGAATATCAGTGTTCATGTTTTAACATAGTACCGTCAGTGCCAAGTAAAGTAGAGGTCTAGCTATCGTCTGAACCGGTGCCAGACGTATGTTTTGTATAGTGATGATAAATATTCACGCCTTCTGTGATTTCTCCTCCACGTCTACAGACGCGGATGTGTTAGCCATTCTCCTGAGGGTCGATAGCTACCTATGGGCAAGATGGTTCTTGAAGACTGTCTCTAAGGGGGCGCATTTAGAATCCCAGGACACGATTCCCCCGGGAAGCGCCCTCACCACTCTGCCAGTGTGTAACGAGTCAACCTCCCTGAGTGCACCTAGCGAGCGAGCCTTCAGCTTGGCGGTCGCTGTAAACAACTGTGCCCGCTGACTCCATCTGGAGATTGTACTTCATCTATTGCATGGAGCAGTGTCGGCCCATGTTTGGAGGGATAACTAGCAGAAATATAGTATCCCGAGTTAAGTATTGAACCCCTGAATGAGAGTTCAAGGTACCAGGTGGTTCCTTGTGAAGTGATAAGAAATATTGTATGTTACTAATTGTAGAATTGCCCAGTGGGTTATGTATTCATCTGTAGTACCCATGAAAGAATAACCTGAAAGTATCATGCTCTAATCAAGAAGTGGAGAGGTAGTTTGTTACTTGTTAAAGTAAGACCGGAGGGTCCAGTGATGGCTTGTGAATAATACGGAATCTCATGTATCAAGGTAATGATATCCCAATTGTCTGATATAGTAATGAGTATTTGGAGGTGTTGAATGAGGTAATAAGCTCTTGAAGTGTTTGATGATTTAATAAGCTAATTGCGGTTCTGTTTAGCCTGAGTGAATTTAAGATGCATCTTCTCCACTCACTATGTTAATAAATATTGAATTAGTAATCTGAGTATCACCACTCTACTCCTTCTAAACATTGGTTCCCAGAAAATAATACTTACTCACGTGCCTAGACATCTACCACACTACCCAACAACTTTCCATGAGTTATGTTATTTAATGAAAAGTCTGGGTGGTGGCAGCTACCCTTTGTAAGTATAAAAAGTGTTGTACAAAGAATAACATGGTTCCCCAGACTAACCCATGTATAAGAAAGAAATAAAACAAAGTACACTTCAGAAAGGAAAGAACATTGACTTGGAAAACATAAGTAGAGAAGCATAAGAGTTACTTGTATAAGAATATAAGGTATATAGAGATAAAGAACATATCAGAATATGAGCAAGAATACACAAGAATAAATATATATATATATATATATATATATATATATATATATATATATATATATATATATATATATATATATATATATATATATATATATATATATATATATATATATATATATATATATATTTTTTTTTTTATATATATATATATGTAAAGAATTGAAGAAGGATAAGTATATAAAACAGGGTACTCATTGGAAAGAGTATTACACAGAACATATAAGTATATGAATAAATAGAATACTAACAGGAAAGAATAGCTGGATGGTAAATTATTGAAAAGAGAAAACTCGGCCCGTTACACTGACGTCAAACTGATCGGCCGGTAATTTGACACTGATGCTCTGTCTCCCTTTTTGAATATGGGTACTACATTTGCCTGTTTCCACAAGTCTGGCACAACTCCAGTGTCTAATGATTTTGTAAATAAGTTTACGAGGGGTCCGCTAATCTGTTCCCAACACTCTTTCAAGACTCGAGGGAAAATTTCATCCGGCCCTGGGGATTTTGTTTTCTTTAGTTTATTTGTCTTCTTAAGAACATCCTCTTTTCTGATAGCGATATTCTTTAATTTCTCTTCTTCCTTTCCCTTAAATATCAGTTCCACCTCTGGAATTTCATCGCAAATTTCTTCTGTGAAAACTGATAAGAAGTAGCT